TACGGAAAGAACAATGAAGTCAGGTGCTGTGGCTCAACCTACAACCTTTGTCTTCATCTCATCATCTATGCATGGCCGACTAGGGCGGCAACAAGGGGCAAAGTGGTATATCGAGATGACATTCAAAAATTTCAGCGCGAATGAAATGAGGTCTGCTGTAAAAAGACCAGGGCGAAAATATTATCTGAAATTCGGATTTAAGAGAAAAAAAAAAAAAAAAAAAAAAAAAAAAAAAAAAGATCGAAGGCACACGAAACAGACAGGAAATTGAAAGGAATGGAATAACAGATTCTGTAAGGGTATCATCGACATTAAATTGGTTTCTAAGGAAAAATAATAAGTGGTTCATAAGGCAAGGGAATGGCTGTGGACTCAGGGTGTCTGTCCACTGAGAAATTCATCCCGCCCGGACATCACGCTGAGACGGTTCGTTTGAACGAGGGAAATTGCTGGCGTTTCATGCAGCACTGCCTTGCTTCATCGTGGCCAGCCGTGGTTGGACACCGTCTCGGACGAGGACAGATGCGGCTGTTCGTCCACATCCTGCTCAATCACCGTGTGCACCGCAATCCCCTGCAATTCCACGTCTGAGCTGTGCCCACTAGCATTGGTGGCGACGTTCGCCCCCTTGGACAGCTGCGAGCCGTGGATGTCATTAATCTGGAGGAAGCCGTCGTGGTGGGTGGTGCTCGACTGGAAGCCGTAGAGCTTCGTGCCGGACGAGGGGTGCGAGCGACCTTTGGAGACGCCGCTCTTCACTTTGCCCAGGAATCCTTGCAACAACGGTTTGAGGAGCGGGAGGCAGCCGCAGATGATCGCCACGTCCAATTCCAGACACGTCCAGATCGATTCTTTGGCACTCGATGCTGTAGCCAGTCAGCGCGGTGAAAGGTGGAAATGTACCGTCGTGAGGACTTACAGGCCAAATCGGTGGTGATAAAGTTCCGAAATTCAATCAATCGCATCAAACTGAAGATGCAGACTCTGCGCTCCGTTAGTTTTCATTGGCTATCCCATGAAGCAAAGCAAATGGACGTACAAGCCACCCAGCGAGAAGACCAAGGTCAAGGCAATCTTCTGTCGCATGGTAATCTGAAGACCCCAGACCACCGGGGCGGGCAGCAGCAAGATAAACACATCCTCGACGAGGGCGATGGACCCCATCGCCTGAAAGAATGCTACCTGGCCCTGCATGCAATGGCCGTTGAGCGTCTTGTCGTAGTAGTACTGCACCGGAATGCACTGGAAGATGTTGACCAGCAGGGCGGTGATGGCCCAGCAGGAGATGAAGGCGATCAGGACATTGGAGACGATGGCATAGGTGCGCAGAGTGCCGAGTAAACGTCGCAGGAAGACGATAATGCTGATCTTGGTGAAGGCGGCGGAGGGGGCCCAGAATTTCTGGATCATCCAGGATCCCTGGAGGTGTGCGCGGTCAGAGGAGGGGGAGGAAGACCAGTATCATTGGGAGTCCATCACATACAAATTGAATCCGATGGCGTTCTTTGGGAGGCAGTTCGCTGACTGAGATGCCCACCCCATTAAAGGCAGCTAATCCATTGATTGCATCAGCAATTGACCCTCCCCTCGCAAAGACCAAAGAGCATACTCACTATCCACGACAAACGCAGTTGCGCCAAAAGACAGAATCAAGCCCACTCCCATCAAACAGTCCTCCAACTTCAAGCCGGCGGTCGTGTAGCGACGCGAGTATAGGCGCAAGATATAGGTCACCGTTGCAAAGGCCGCCCCCACGATGGGGACGATGGTCAGGGTATTTTTCCAGTATCTATTCTCTTCCCATTTGTCGGCGGAAGTCATTCTGCATTGCCCACTGTACGAGTCAGCCCTTCCAGATGATGGACGACGGCAGGGGCACAGGACAAGTCCATATAAGGTTTTCTCCAGCCAGGAGAAGGTTGAGAGATTTTATCTCCTCTTTGAGAATGGCTCAATGGCTTGTCGAGCTTAATTAAGACGGAGGATTTATTCTTGGGTGGCAGTGTGCGGCTGGCGTCGCCACCGAACCTTAAAGGATAAACTGGGGCTTATTTTGGCCCGTTTATTTGGCCAGGGAGCCCTCGGACTGAAGGAGGGATTAGGGCAGTGGAAGCCGGACATAGACGCACTTGGAATTTGTCATGATTTGCTACATCCACGCAACACTCACCAAGGAGGATCCGAATGGGGGGTCCTATCCCGGACTATTGAATTGGATTCCATGGCTATGGCTGCGGCTGCTGCTGCTGCTGTTTTAAGGGTTTTCTCCAGCCTGAGACACATTCTGAGGGTGCTGTGAGATCTAATCGCATTTCGATCGATCAAATGGAGTCTGCGGTCCCCAGTTTACGGAGTACTTAGTTTCTGCAGCCTGATCCGCACTCTCTCCTCGTCTCAGGAACGTGAGTCTGATCGCGTCTGGGGATGCTTGAGATCGTCATGCAGCAACCCAAGTCTGGATGGATGCGATGGAATAGTCGCGTGGCTAGACAGGGATGCGGTGCCTTTCAGGGGGGGGGGTGGGCAGGCAACCGGCCATGCAGGACCACTCCCACCGGAGGAAAAGGAGGATGGATCTATCTGAGACAACGGGTTATTGGCAGGATTTCCGCTTAGCTGCAAAGGCATGCAGGTCCGAGGGTATTCGCAGCAGAGTGGGATATCAATTGGAGGATTGCGGGGACATACTGGCGTCGGACAACGGCCGAGCCCTAAAGACAGTTAAGCGTAGTGGCGCCCAAAGAAGGCCACGCCACGAATCACACCCATCAAGACCTTAAAACAAACCGGTGGGGCGTCAGACGGGGCTTGTGGAGAGGGTGTGGCATTAGCCAGTCTCTCTCTTTGCCTCATTGGGCTGCTTTCTGCACTCCATTCTCTGCTTTGCTTCCTCACCTCTTCTGTCGGTACAGTCGGAGGTCGGCCCTCATCGTCTTCGTCATACCACACCGTCCCCAGTCATCCTCCACCGTCCTCCACTTTGTCTGAGTCAGGCAACTCAATAGCCTGTGCGCCATTGTGCACCGTTGTACCAGCTGCAAAGAGGGATTCCCGGGTTTTTCGCTGCCCGTACTGGGGCTTTCTGGGAAATAAATTGAGGCAAGATCGTCGGGGGGATTTCCCTAATTTTTTTTTCTTCCCATCCCTCTCCATCCCATCTCAGGGTGTTTCAATCTCGCGTGGCAGGATGGCGTCTTCTGGGTACAAAATGTCGTTTGCGGCCTTGGCCGTCCAATTCCTGGGGGTGGCCTCTGCGACGTGCAACTGCAGCCTGAGTGGCCTCAACACCACCGTCGGTGGTCGTGTGCAGCCTCTCACCCCCTTCTCCCTCCCCTGTTTCTCCAGCTACAATGGCCAGGCCGTCTCCCCGAATGATGCCGCCTGCGCCACCATTCAGGCCAACTACTCCGACCCGTACCTGCGGGCCAACTCGCCCAATGGCTACATGAACTACCAGGATGAGATGTGCTCCTCCAACCCCGCGGACCAGTGCGTCCTGGACAGCAGCGATCCCACTGATCCGCTGGCCTTCACGGGCACCGACTGCCGGCAGGGCAACATGCCCTCCTACTACCTCGAGGTCCACGATGCCACCGACGTGAGCGCCGCCCTCGAGTACTCGCGCTGCTCGGGCGTCAAGGTGGTTATCAAGAACAGTGGCCACGACTACCTGGGCCGCAGCAGTGGCAAGGGGACCCTGGCCCTGTGGACGCGACACCTGCAGGACATGCACTACAATGCCAGCTTCGTGCCCCAGGGCTGCCCCGCCACCACCAGCTACAACGCCATCACCGCCGGTGCGGGGGTCAACTTCGACGAGGCCTATGCGTTCGCCCACCAGCACAACGTCACCATCCTGGGCGGCTACTCCCCCACGGTTGGTTTGTCCGGTGGCTGGGTGCAGATGGGCGGCCACTCGATCCTGTCGCCCGTGTACGGTCTGGGCGTGGACCGCGTCCTCCAGTACAAGGTGGTGACCCCCGACGGCAACCTGCGCATTGCCAACGAATGCCAGAACCCGGACCTCTTCTGGGCGCTCCGGGGTGGCGGTGGGGGTACCTTTGGCGTGGTGCTCGAGAGCACCCACCGGGTCGAGCCTCGCTTCGGCTTCGTGGCGGCGATTGTCAAATTCACCAGCAACTCGACCAACATGCTCCCCTGGATGGAGCTCATCGTCAACAACACCCTCCGGTGGGCGAACGAGGGCTGGGGCGGCCACATCACCGGCAGCACCCTCGTCAACGTCTCCCCGCGACTCACCGTGGCCCAGGCCCAGCAGTCGCTGGCGTCGGTGGTCGCCTACGCCCAGGCGCAGGGGGGCACCGCGGTGATCGAGCACTTTGCCTCGTGGTACGACTTCTACGAGAAATACGTAACCTCCGAGGCCGTCAGCGTCGGGATCACGCACTTCGCCGGCAGCCGACTGGTGCCGCGCTCGGTCTTCCAGACGGCGGAGGGCCGACAGAACCTGATGGACTTCTTCGCGCTGCTTCAGCAATCCGACCAAACCCCCTACATCCCGGTGGTGGGCCCCGTGTTGTTCAACTACACGGAGGGGTCGACGAGCGCGACCCCGGCGTGGCGGCAGGCAGTGTGGGAGCTGGGCTCGGGCAGCAGCTGGGCGTGGAACAGCACGCTGGCGACGCGCGAGGCCAAGATCGCGACGCTGCAGAACATGACGGCCACGCTGGAGCGCATCACCCCGGGCAGTGGGGCGTACAGCAACGAGGCCAACCCCTTCACCGAGGACTGGCAGGAGGCCTGGTGGGGCCGGGAGAACTACGACAAGCTGCTCGCCATCAAGAACAAGTACGACCCCAGTGGAGTGCTGAGCTGCTGGAAGTGCATTGGCTGGCAGGAGAGCCAGGCCAACAGCACCTGCTTTGCTGCTTTCAGTAACCTGTGATCAGGGATAGAGTAATACGATAGACTAATGTGATAGATATAATGTGTGATACTGGATGAATTCATTCTATACAGTAAATTATCCCAAACGTCCCGGGGGAGAACCCCCGGACCCCCCTTTCTTTACAGCTCCCTGGTAAGCGTCATCCTACGGTTAATGACATACAGCATCATTCCGGGGGTTTTCAATCTCTACGAACTACTCCGGAGTCTTGTTCGGGGCGTGGCTGTTATATCTTGGGCGTGGGGTTAAGAAAAGTGTTTGCGCGGTTTGCTCCGGCGGCATCCACTTCTGTCATAAACAAGTAAGGATCGGCGAGGCTGCTGGTTTCCATGGATCCTCGGATGATGCTTACTGCTTCGGGCATAGCCTCTGCAGCAGGGTCCGATCCCGGCTCCGATCGGCGGCTGCATCCCTGGTTGGGCGGGCTGCATTCGGCAACTGCTTCGGTGGTGCACAATTACTAAGTCATCCAGCATATCCGGAGCATACCGCTGCATTGTTCTGCCCACATTGCTATCGTAATGAGATATTGTTGGTCGTTCATATACTTGGGTATGCTAGTGGTCTCGAAGTATAGGCACTGGTAGTTGAGGAAATTGCTGACCGGCTTTTCATCGTCGGACGAGGAGGAGTCATCGCTCGAGCGCGTCCCGAGGTGCAAGGCAGAAACCATTGTCGCGAGGGCTCTTTTGGAGTCGAGATGTAAGGTGGTGTGGTACGAGGCCATGACGGCTGCTAGCTGTGGTTGCGATTGAGCCTTTATTCTGGTGGCGCTGGACTCCGTCGTAGCGATTCCCGTGGTAGTGGTGGTGATGGTGATGGCTGTTGAGATGCCCATCATCCACTGCCCTTTAAATCTGTGTGAACTCTGAAGTTTAGAAAGAATCGGGCTTCCATATCTATTATATGGGCCGCGCTTATTTCGGCTCCAATCCACCCAATCAACTCGATAGCAATGCCGTTAAGGTCGGGAATCTCTGTTTCAATGCCATGTTTACCCTTGGACACCATCTCACAATCTCCCCACAGGCACTCGCTCGAGCTCTCTACTCGGGAGTCGCAACTCACTCAACCTCTCATCTCCAGCTTCGATACCCAACCGCCACCATGTCTGAGCGAAAGGTAAGCGTCATGCGAATGTGTATCCCACGCAACACCCACTAACTCCCACAGGTGCTAACCAAGTATATTATAGAAGCTAAGTAAATATATAGTATCGCTGACTCGGAAACATAATAGACCCCGGTGGATCGACATGAACAAAATATATATAGCTCTAAGTTCACTCCTCGCCTACTGTCTGTCTCACTTCAAAGTATAACCTACCGTACTACGCTGAGACATAGAATCAATAGTCATCACAGACTCATGACCAGTTCACTGATGGACAGCGATATCTTCCCACTATGAGCGGAGTGGTGGAGTTACCCTCAGCCAAGGATCGGATCTCCCTGTCTTTACTGTGAAAAGCATCTCTCCGGCGGGAGGCAGTCGACGAAATGCATCACACCACAAAATGTCCGGAGGGGGGGATACTTGGGAGCCAGAACGTCCTCCTTATAAAGGCGAGAGATGGTACCGAGACAGAGATCGAGTACTGCTGACAGCATCACTATCATGCAGACCAGATCGATCCTCACCCGTCTTGGGACGGCCCTGCTCGCGTGGTGGGCCCTGATGCCCATCGCTGGGGCGTATACGAACCCCATCCGCAGTCCTGGAGGGCAAGTGGTACATCTACTACACTGCCGGCGACAAGAACGACCTGGAGGGCCAGCGTCTCCACGTCCTCACCGGTCAGCTACACCTACACCGGCCAACTGACCACCGAATGGTCCATCGACGCCACCGTCCTCCGCACTAGCCAGTACGACAATTACCTCGTCTTCTCCTGCTTCCACGGGGTGACATACCAGTCGCTCTGCATCCAAAAGCTAGGCAACGACTACGTCTCGCTGACGGGCAATGTTTCGGTGATCCCGGAGCCCACCGAGGCCTTTGAAACCCACCGCACCCCGGTCAACGAGGGCCCTGCCGCCCTGTATCTCGAGGGCACGACCTATCTGGCGTACTCGGCCTCCTACTGCTGGACCCCGTACTACTGCGTGGCCTTGCTGCCCTGGGACAGCAGCACGGAGCCCACCTCCAAGAGCGCCTGGGCCAAGGGCGACAGCTGCGCGCTGTCCTCGGCGAAAGGGAACTACGGGACGGGCCACAACAGCTTCTTCCAGAGCCCTGATGCCTCCGAGACATGGATCGCGTACCATGCCACGAGCAAGAGCGGCGGGGCGTGTGATAATACCCGGTATACGGTAGTGCGGCCTGTGGGGGTGAGCAATGGGAAGTTGGTGTTCGAGACACCCGCTGCGTTCAGTGCGGTCTTCAATGAGCCGAGCTGATGATGCAGCCGCATTGTATGGACATATGTACGTGATGGATTGTCCACGCAGGAGAGTTGAGGGGAATATAGACTGGATATAAGATGTTCGCTTGTCAAATAAATGATTTACTCAATCAGATGGACAACATCCCCGTAGCGCCAAGTCCACCCTACCGTACCCTAAACCACCAAATCCCACACCTCCTAACTTACCTCCGTCGCAACACCCCCTCCTGTTCCACTCCAACCTCCCTCGTCTCCCCCCCCTTCTTCACCAAAACCCCGGCCACATACGGCAATACCCCATCCGCAAAATACCTCTCCAACTCGACCCTCTCCCACCCACCATCCTCTCTTGCCGCCATCCGCAACACCTTCTCCGTGTCCCGAGTCAAACAACAATCCCCCACAAACCACCTCCACCCCAACATCTCATAAACCCCCTGCATCACCCGGGCCACCAGCGACCCCTTTCCTCGCGACCACGCACTCACCACATGCTCTACCACAATCACCCTGCCCCCGGGCTTGAGTAAACGATACAGCCCCTGCACCGTCCCCTCCAGATCCGGTACCGAACACAGCACCCGGACACAGAGAATCGTATCAAACACCCCGTCCCCGGCTGTCGATAGACCAGCCTGCTCGAGGGCGGGCAGAAGCTGCGCCGGAGCGACGCTGCACCCCAGAACCGTGTACTTCTCGCCCACCCCCTCCGCTGTAGCGCGGGCGCGCAACGCATCGTGCAGAGGGTGACAGGGTTCCACCCCGTACAGGGCGGTGATAGCTGGGGAGCGCAGGTGGGGTATCTGCGTGCCGGTGCCGGGGCCGATGTCGAGGGTGAGGCCGGTGGCGGTGGCGAGGAGGGGGGGGATGAGGTCTGCGGAGCCGGTAATTCTTGGTGGGACCTGCTGTGGCTGCTGTGGCTGCTGTTGTACTGGTTGTTGAGCAGGGGGGATCTGGGATGGAGGTGCTACGTCCAGGTTAGATAGCGACTCGACAGCGTCAACGAGGGATAGAGGTACCGCTAAAAGCCAGCCAGAATCGACCAAAGGCTTCGTTGCGCAGCCGCTGGGTATCGAGGATGGGAGCGAGGATGTGGCCGTCGCGGACGATTGCCTCAATGCAAACGTGCAGATAGCCTGGTCATGGATATTAGTGGAGAGTGTCATGATGAGGAACAAAAACAGGCTCAGTGGACGTACTTTTCATGGCCATGGATAGAATCTGGCCGGGTTCCAGTAGGCCTTGGATCCATTGCCATGTGGATGGGGTTTGTGTGGTCATTGGATTGAGGATGGGGTGAAGAAGAGGATGGAGGGATCTGAAAGAGGATCAATGTGTGAGATGAATGTCTGCTGGTGATGTCGATACTGACCAGTTGATGTAGTCATCCATAGTGAAGTATATATAAGCGTCTTGAGGTTAAGTTAATTTCAGGAAAATTCTCGGGGGAAGCATCGACCAATCATATTGCATGTTTTGTCCTCGGTGTTTGTTGTTCGGGCTTGGCATGCTAATCTGGACATTTTCAATCGCCGGCAGGCAGAAAATGGACTCGAGGCTAAACTAAACCGACTACGCTCGGTGTCTGCTCCCTCGGCCTCCCCCATGGGTGCTCTGGGTCTTCTTCACCGGCCAGGCCAAACCCCAGGCGCGCACGATGGAGGGATGTCCAGGCAACGCTGAAAACCCCCTGACGCAGCCGGGTGCCTACCGCCACCCAGGCCTCCGGCACCTCTACCACTACGTCGAGATGTCCCCCACCCCCGAGAAGGGCATTTACGCCGTCACCACCGCAACAATGTGTCGGTTGGAGGTGGTGGTGGAGGGGAAGGTGCGACTTGCTGAGGTTAGACTCCGTTTTTCTGTAGTAAGTGCCATGTCAGGTAGTCAATCTACCAGTATTGTATTTATTTAGACCAGTCCGAACAGCTGTCAGTCTCAGAGTTTCATGCCGGGGAATCCGAGTTGCGCGACAGGATCTTATCAGATCAATTTGTCCATCATATCAGATAATCGGGTCTGCAGAATGTCCACCAATGACCGTCGGTTGAGGTGCGGGTCTTTTCTCTTTGCCTGCTTCTGATTGGCTGGCTGTACCCGCACCAACTGCACTGCAGAGTCTGCCTCCTCCCCCGATACAAGCGGTCAGCAGCAGCGATCAATCCGCCTACCAGACCTATATCTCCTCCCAGCCCCTCTCTGGCCCCTCATTGTATCGCTTGTCGTGTGTTCATGTCATCGCACAAAGCGCTGGTCGCTGCTGCTCTTCCGTTCTCCTGATTTTCCCCTGCAGAGCTTCTGGTTGCGTGGATCCGTCCTTGCATCTGGAAACCAACACGACCGTCCATGACCATGCTCGCGTTCTTGCGGAGCAAGTACTGCGAAGCGAGGGAGATTATCGACGAGATCCGCCGCACTCATCCAGGCGATGTGCCCGCTCCGCGACCGGACGGCTACGAGCCCATTCCGGATGCTCCCGACTTGTCCTCCCCTGAGCACACTTCCCATGGAGTCGCCGAGATTGAGGCCCTGGCCTCGGTCTGGTCCACCAAGACCCTGTACACGGGATATGTCTTGTGAGTTCCCGGTGGCCTCATTATCTCCTGGCTAACCGTGTAGGGTCTTCATCATTTTCTTCATCAACTCTCTGCAGCAGCAAACCACCGGCAGCTTGAGTCCATATGTGTATTCCGAATTCACCGACCACTCGCTCATCGCCATGACGAATGTGCTCACGAGCATCATCGGTGGAGTTTCAAAACTGCCGATCGCCAAGTTAATCGACATTCTGGGCCGTCCTGAGGGGTTTGCGGCCATGGTCGCGCTCTGCACCTTGGGTAAGGGGGGGGGGGGGGCTTCTCCCCGCGCATCGAGTGATCCGTACTGACTGTTATCAGGCCTGGTGCTCATGGCCGCCTGTCGGAATGTCGAAACCTATGTCGCTGCACAGGTCCGTCCCCCTCCGTGTTCCCTCCGGGGCATCTCTGACCAACCCGCCAGATCATCTACTGGGTGGGCTATAACGGGATGGACTACGTCCTGCACGTCTTCATGTCCGACACCACCGAGCTCGTGAACCGCGCCTTCGTCTACGGCATCGCCTCGTTTCCCTACGTGATCACCACGTTCATCGGGCCTGCCGCCGCGCAGGTCCTGTACGAGCACAATGCCCTGTACACCGGATTCGGGATCTTCGCCCTTCTGACCCCGGTGGTCACCGCGCCTCTCCTCTGCCTGCTGTGGAGGACACGGACGAAGGCCCGATCGGCTGGGATCATCCAGCCCAAACCGAGGAGCCACTCTCGACTGCGCACCATCATCCACTACGCGGTGGAATTCGATCGTTGGTTTCCCGTCCCGAACGAACGAAGAACGACCATAGTACTAAATCTCCCTCACAGCAATCGGAATGCTCCTCATCACCGCCGGCTTCGTGCTGATCCTCCTCCCACTCACCCTGGCCACCTCCGGCACCAACCTGTGGAGTCCCTCGCTGCTCGCGCGGTGGATGGCACCGGACCTCATCGCGATGATCGTGCTGGGCGTCTTATGTGTGGTGGGCTTCGTGTGCTGGGAGCGCTCCGGGGCGCCGGTCTGCTTCGTCCCATACAGCCGTCTGCGCGACCCGACGCTCCTCGGCGCATTTCTGCTCGCCTGCGCCATGTTCATGAGCTTCTAGTACCTCCCCCCGTGATGTTCACGGAAAAAGACCAACCACTAACTCATATCTGCAGCTGTTGGGACCTCTACTTCTCCTCCTACCTCCAAGTCGTCTTCAACACCTCCATCCGCGACACGGGATATATCTACAACATCTATAGCATTGGCAGCTGCATGATCTCGATTCCGGTTGGAATGTGCGTTTCTTACCCCTAAACCCCCAGCCCCACTGGCGCAACCTCAACTCACTCACTAACATGACCTGATCTTGTCACAGATTAATCCGCCATCTCGGCCGCTTCAAAACCCCCGCCCTCGTCGCCATCCCCCTCTTCATCCTGGGCACCTTCCTGATGATCCCCTTCCGCTCCCCCACCAGCCACATCTCCGCCGTCATCGCCTGCGAGATCCTCAAAGCCCTCGCCGGCGGCACCCTGGTCATCTGCCAGGAGATCGCCGGCCTGGCCACCGGCTCCCACGAGACGATCGCCGTCTCGTTTGCGCTGGTGGGGCTGGGGGCGAAGATCGGGTGCGCGGTCGGGGCGGCGGTGTCCGGGATGATCTGGACGAGTACCGTGCCGGTCTACATCGAGCGGTACTTGCCCGACTCCAAGAAGAGGCTGGCGGGGGAGCTGTATGGGTCCATGGCAAAAGTGCTGGAGTTTGCCCCGGGGACGGAGGAGAGGGAGGCGGTGGTGGCGGCGTATGGGGTGGCGCAGAAGCGGATGTTGGTCGTGGGGTTGGCAGTGCTGCCGGTGGCCGTTGGGGGAATTGCGATGTGGAGGGATATTCGCTTGAAGGGGGATCATCGTGGTTCGTGAGTGAGTATAGGATAGAGGGTTAGATAGAGGGTTATGGTATGGTATAGATGGTGGGGGGGCGTTTTGCGTTATGGACAGTAGGGTCACGACACTTACGAATGAATGAATGATTAGATTTATGTCAAGAAGAAGAATCATTTTGAGCTACTAGCTACAACTTTGAAAACTTTTAGATAAATGCCCGATAGGCATAAAAAGGAGTCTCTGAGGTATACTACATACCTTAAAAGATCAAGACGCCCACGCCAATGCACATCGGAACGTCAGCTCACGCTGCCCTCACAAACGGACTCTCCAAGACCCTATACTTGATCAATCGCTCTCGATCCATGAAGACATATCCCCAGGCGCGCGCATCTGCCGTGCGCTCACGGCCCGCGAACACCCTGGTCTCCCCTCTCCCCAAGGCCCAGCGCCACGCACTGTTTGCCCCAGAGGCGGGATCCCGGAAGTAGTTGTCCTTGTACAGCATCGAGCTCCTATGACCACCGACCGTCCGCAGGAAGTTGAGGAGGTGCTGGTTGGTGATCTGCCAGATATACGCACGATCTGCGACCTCGAGCACCCGACCGAGCTCCTCTTCGTCCGCACTGCCACGAGCGCGATGCAGGAGGGCCATCCCCTGATCATCCGCGCCCACACAGAGCCTTCTTCGCCCATCCTCCACCCGATGCAGATGCTCGCGGTCGAGCTCATGCTGAAAACCCGCAAACACTCCGCGCAGATAACTGGCCACACAGACCAACTGCTCCGCCTCCCAGACGGTCAGCCGCAACAGCCAGCCGCGCCAGACGGCGTCGAGCGTCTCGTTGACCGACCACCGCACAAACCCCCGCAAGCGGGCCCCGCGGGCAATCAACCGGCGACGATGGACCATCTCCCGCTGGCAGATCTCGTGCAGATAGAAAATCCGGGTGACGCGCACCCACTCCTCGCGCGAGGGCTGGGTGGGGGGTCCGTCCTGCTTCGCGTCCCCCTCCCCGAAGCGGCGGTCGAACGCCGGCCAGGTGGTCGCGATGTAATCCCCAACAAAACCCATGAGCATCCGGTGGAAGGCGTTCAGCTTGTCGACTACCGCGTCGGCGGGGTCGCTCAGCTGGACGGTGCTCGCCGTCCAGAGCTGCGCGCGCACCATCTCGCATTCACACTGCACCCCGTCCGTTGCCGGGCAGTCGCGCGAGACGTGGAGTTGCTGGAGTTGCGCGGCGAGCGGGAAGATTTCCTCGGGGATTTGGGTGCTTATATCTCCGTAGACCGCGAGACCCTCGGGGGTACCGCGGGGAAAGCCCGGGCTTGTGGAGCTGGTCTCCGGGGGTGTTGCAACATCGGCGTGGAGCTTCGGAGGCTGTGGTACCATCTGCTGGATGCTGTCGACCACCAGCTGCAAACGCGCGTCCGGAACGATGGGCGCGAGCGGGCTGGCTGGCTCGCTGGCGCTGCGTGTGCCAGCCCGAAGACCGGCGTCCCTGGCGGCAGGCAAGTCAGGCAACGGAGTCCAAGCAATGCGCTGGTCGGGGCTGGGAATAGCTACCTCATCATCCAACCAAGGAACACGATGACAACTTGGAGGCAAAGGAGGGATCGCCACCTCCGAGAAGGCTACGCCATAGCGAGCGGTGGCATTGTCAGGGCTGCCCTCGGAGCTAGGCTTTGATCTTTTGGACCAGGCACCCGGCTGCTCGAGTCCGCGTCTTTTGTTGGTCTCGATCACAAAACTGCGACCTTCTGGCAGCTCGGTAGGCTGGACCTCAACGCTCATGGCTCGACGGACGAGGCGAGAAGACATCAGGGCAGATAGACTTGCCGAGGGCATTGATCGTGCAGCACGGTTACGAGAAGCTCTCTGGTGGGGTCGAATATGCTCAAGCCTGTGCTTGCATTTTATAATGTGTTCAGTTCCTCCTCCAAGAGACAGGATCCCTTGTTTACCCAGTAAAGACAATGCCAACGTTGGTGAGCTTCGATTGAGCTGAAAGAGCTGAAAGAAGTCACGGTGACACGGCCATTGTTGGATATCCGGACTGTCAGTATCTCCATGGAGATCCTCGCTAGGGTATTGTTCATGTAAACCCCAAAGACCAGGTTCTTGGTGGATGCTGAAGGTTTTCGTTTGTCTGATCGAATTGTCGGCTGTTGTCAACCTGGGCTGCTTTCTCCATGCTAGGGTTGAGGTAGAGAGGGAGCCCTAACGCGGTGAGTTGGGTAGTTTCTCTGCCTCAACTAGCGAACTACTTGACTGTCGTCCGAACGACTATAGAATCAAGCTCTACTATCATCATTGGGCATAATCAACTATATTGAACTAACTAGTCAATTGCTCCGCCACTTGACGACTGACTGTGAAGAGGCGTTAACTCGTAGTCTGCTGCGGGATTCCACTTCAAGCCGTGTGCTCCCCCCATTCAACCGTAGTCGATGCTTGGGTCCTGATGATGAGAGATAAGTGATCGCATCAAGCAAGCCGCTACTCCAATGGCTCCCCCGGACTGCTAGAAATGTGCGAAAGCCAAGATTCGATGCATTCGTGCAGCCACTCCGGGAGCTGTGCCCAGTTAGTTCTCCTGAGTGGCGTGTCCAGCTACTATACGATCACGCACAACTGCGACCCCCTGCCAAAGGCATGTCATCTCCAGCAAGGACAACGAGCAACTCGGAGCCTCCCTCGAATTGACAGCAGGATAGCCGGAGATGGATGCTCGTGGGGATCGCAATGTTTTTTACGATCCTAAGAGGCGGCTGAAGCAGGCGCAATGGTGGTTCGAGAGTCGGATGCTTTCTGTCTCTCAGCAGATAGAGCCCGGGTTGGTTTTCACTGCTCTCTGGTCTGGTATGCTGATAGGCGAGATGGGGCTGGGCGAGGCGGCGAGGGCAGTGGAGGAGGTTTTACAACGGTCGCCCCATTCCTGTCTTGGTAGAAAGTTCGTGTTGGTGGATCTGACGGGGTCGGAGTTTTATTATCAGGACCAATGCCACGGGCTCGTAGCAACAGTATTCCCATGGCGGATACCACCGTCATGATGGACTAGTCTATGCAGGTGGTGTACAATGAAACCAAGATGGAAGAGCCCGGCTGATATGTCATGACCATGACTCATGTGATAGCCCTCGACCTTCATCTGCTACTCATGCTGTGGAGAAGACGTCGATTACAGAGCACTGCTGTGCAGCGATCTACGAGATTCAAGTGTGTCCCGGCTAACAGGTCCAGTTTCATCCTCGCTCGCCGGCAATGATTTCTTCCCTTGTTCTGAAGGGTCTGGCAGCTGAGCGAGATCTTCTACTGCACATCGCTCGTCATCACACATCCTCACTCCGCGGACTCGTATGATTAAGGGGACTATCTGGCGGAATACCCGGCAACAATCGTAAGGAGCGAATGTTCTCGTCTATTAAGCAGCCGAGCTTGTCTGAGTGTCTGAGAGCCGGATCGCCGGCTTAATCCTCGGTATGATTCTCCCGCCGTGAACAAGCATTCCGGTGGTTACAGATTGATTGAGAGGGAAGCGGTCTTTTGTCGTCCAGACTCCTAGGAATGGGGATTTAATTGACATCTCTCAGGCTGTCAGCCCGGTTGCGGGCCTGATGCTGAAACTCAACAGCCCGAGGACAGTGATCTCTGTTGTCGATCCACAACCCCCCCATGATACTGTTCCGCCGACATGGAGGAGGTTGAGTGATCTGATACTCGATACCTGACTCGTTGAGCAACGAGGAGTACTATCTCTGTGGTGCAGTCCACTACAGTCTTTGTTAGAGACTAGACATGGTCACTTTCTAGTAGAACCCATCCGGATTGTTGTTGATGAAGCCGCCCATGACGTGAAGAGTATCGATCTCAGGTCCAGTCCACGTCGTGATCACGCGTAGTAGTCAGAAGCGAACAGATCTTCACCCGTGCACCGAAACATATCTCCCGGTCTAGCCTCTGTTGCCTTGCGAGCGTCAGGGACAGCCGCAGGCGATCCATGGATCATAAATGAGAGGAATGGTTCGTTTGAAACAGACAGACCTTTTGCAGTAAATGGGATGACCGGCTCCGAGGTTCCCGCGACGACAGGACCTCATTCAACCAGTGAAGTTGATCTCTCATTTGTTCGTGGAGGTGGAAGGGGTTGAACCCGGGGCGGGTCGATGGCCGAATCGGGAACAGAGGCCTCAAAAATTGGGCGAAGACGGGATGGAAGCCCTAACATTCCTTGACAATTCCTCACAATCCCTAACAATCCCTACTAAAGTTATCGCAGAGAAACCCCCATCCAGAAACACGATCCTCACTCCTAGGGAGAAGAATTCTTCGTCTATCGGCGACAGACCCTGGTCTGGAAAGGATTTCTGCCGTTGGGGAAAGGCGCATCCGAGCGTCCCGGACTAGCAGCCACACCGACACATAACGGTTCGTCCGCCACAGTCGCAGGGTGAGACATCGGCCGCTAGAACATGGATGGATTGTGATCTATCGAGTGGCCGGGTTTCAGCTGTTCAGCCAGACCCAAACCCCTCAAGTAAAGTGGACCGAGCGTTTCGAAAAGCCTGGGGGAAAAGATGAAACACGCCCGGTCCGATCGTGAGTTTTCCCGATGGCTTGACTTGAGAGTCGGTCTCAATTTTGAGGACGACTCACCAAGTATAAAAGTGACCGTCTTCACCAGGGTTTTGGGGTTTGTTCGTTCATCCAGTCCAGCTCATCCAGCAGCCCAGCCAGTGCAGTGCACTTGTCTCTCTTTCTCTTGCTGGTTCATTCGTTCTCTTTCTCTGTTTTGTAATTCACATCCTTTCCTGTCGTCAAGTCCATCATGAAGTCCTTCGTTACTCTCTCTCTGCTCGCCACTGCGTTGGCCGCTCCCACCCCGACCCTGCACGGACGTCAATTCGACCTTACCTCTCTGCTGTCCGGCTCCAGCTCCGGCTCCAGCACCTCCACCGGCTCGAGCGGGCTGAGTGCTCTGGCCTCGCTGTTCCCCATCAGCTCGACGACCGGCAGCAGCAGCGCCAGCGCCAGCGGCAGCGCCATTGCCAGCGCCAGTGGCAGCACGACCGACAGCACCACCGGTACCAGCAGCAGCAGCAGCGGTCTGAGTGCGCTCGCCTCGCTGTTCCCCAGCAGCAGCACCACCAGCACCAGCAGCGACAGCAGCTCGTCTAGCAGCGACAGCATCAGCAGCCTGCTCAGCAGCTTCATGGGCGGTAGGTTCCCCGTCCCTCCCATGCCATTCGGGGCCCATCCGCACCCTACACCCATACTGACGAAGATCAGGCTCCACCACCGCCAACGGGGTGACCTCCAACACCGGCTGCAAGGAACTGACCTTCATCTTCGCGCGTGGCACCTCGGAGATGGGCAACATGGGCAGCGTGGTCGGGCCGGAGGTGGCCTCGAACCTGCAGACCCTGACGGGCAACAAAGTGACGGTGCAGGGAGTGGACTATGCCGCTGACTGGGCTGTACGTATTTCCTCTTCCCCCCTTAACTCTTCCCTCCAAGCAACACCCCATGCTAAATAACTCTCCCAGGGTAACATGGAACTGGGCGCCTCCGGTGGGCCAACAATGGCCAGCCTCGTCAAGGAGGCCCTGTCGGAATGCCCCAACACCAAGGTGGTGCTGGGCGGGTACTCGCAGGGAGCGATGGTAGTGCACAACGCAGCGAGCTCGCTGAGCGCGGGCGAGATCCAGGCGGCCGTCTTGTTCGGCGACCCGCTGAAGATGACCTCGGTGGGCAAGCTGGCCTCCAGCAAGGTCAAGGAGTTCTGCGCGACGGGCGACCCGGTGTGCGAGAATGGGGCGGATGTGATGGCGCACTTGTCGTACGGGAGCGATGCGCAGGCGGCGGCGCAGTTCTTGGTTAGTGCGGTTGGGCTTTCTTCTTCTTAGTTGGTGATCGAGGACGAGACTGGAAAGGTTTCATTCTTGAATGGGATCTGGAATTCTTTTGGTGGGTTGGTTGGTTGGTTGGGGCTTGGGGTGAAATGATGTTGATTGAGGCAGTGGAAATGTCATGGCCTGGTGCTGTTGCATATCCCCTGTCGACGAGCTTTTCCTTCTTCTGCACACTCCTTTTGATACACGAATTGAGCACTTTTTTCCCGGGACCTCGCGCCGTACGCTTCATTGATCTGTAGTGACCAGGGCTTTGCAATTCTGAGCCTGACAGTAACGACTCGTCAAGGAGAAGATCGGTCCGAATACTTCTACTTTGCAATGAATGCGCACTCGATAGCCTGGTGAGATCATGTCTTGGAAGGAACACTTCTCTGTCGCCTGAGGTAGTGAACTGTCGATAGCATTCGTACAGTCACCCACAACTAGCAACATCATCCCTACTTGTTCAGGATAACGTGAACTCCCCAGGTAACTAACCAGTGGGTAGGAAAGTTGCTCCTGACCAGACTGACTATTCTCGCAAATGGCAGCCCCAGCTGGGCTCTTGATCGAATTCATGAGGGCCTGTCTATCATCGGGAAACGCAAGACGCGGTCACCAAAAGAAAAGACAATTCATTGCAGAATCAGATTGTTCATTACCATACATGTCAGACATCTCTCTCCCTTCATAACACTCAAACTCCCCCCTAAGCGGTGGCTTAAAAGATCTTATACCCACCCGGCATCAAGGTCTGAAACACCCCCTCGGGATCATAGGCACTGGCAATCTCCTGCAACTTGGCCACATTCTCCGCTCCATACCCGCCATAGATATCCTGGAACCAGGCGGCATCGCCCATGTAGTTGAAGGGATCATACAGACCGACCGCATCCGTCGCGTTGTTGATCAGCTCCGTGGTCTCGACCACCCACGCGCCCACCACCTCATCATACGCGCTGCCGATCCACTCGACCACCTCGGCGTAACACAGGTAGATCTCCGAGGCGTTGAGGCCCAGGGCATTGCCGCCGCGGGCGTTGGAGGCGTCGATCCACTGCGCCCCGATCGGCTGCCAGTCGAGCTCGATGATGGAGATGTTGGCGGTGGGGATCTGGGCATAGAGCTTGGGGAGCTGGGCGGCGAAGGTGGCGTTGATGATGTTGACGCCCTGCAGGAGGTCGTCGTAGGTGGTGGCTTTGATGGTGCCGGCGACGAAGATGTCACTGTCCGATGATTAGCATTTGAGGGGGATTCTTGTGAGGGCTTCGGGGGTGGGCACGTACTTGATGTGGCTGGTCACGACCTCGCCCATCTCGCGGGCCATCTCGGCCACAGTCTTAAAGGCCATCGTGTTGGCCTCGGCGGGAATGTCGGTGAACGGCTTGAAGGCATCGGGGTAGCTGACGTTGGGGCTGTCGTAGAACAGAATCACCGAGCCCACCGCAGAGTCGGCGGAGGGCACCACCGCAGGCACGATGTGGGTTTTGGGGTCGGTGTTGTTGGCGGCAAAAGCGGCGGTGGCCTTGTCCTTGCATCAGTCCTCCATCCAGGGGTACCGCTGCATGAGAAATGCAAGAAAAAAAAAAAAAAAAAACTTACAGCCAGGAAATCCGGGATATACTCCTCGGCGACAGTCCAAGTCCCCGCCCACACCTTGGTGGACGGCAGCGTCTCGATGTCGAAGCGCGTCACCAGGCCAAAGTTGCTACTGCCCCCCTTGAGGGCCCAGAACAGGTCCGCGTGCGAGGTCGCGTTGGCCTCGACGATGGTGCCGTTGGCCAGCACCACCTCGTAGTTGATGACCGAGTCGCACGCGAAGCCCACCTGGTTGCCATAATAACTGATGCCGCCGGCCAGCAAGAGACCGGGCACCCCGACGGGGCCGAGACGACCCCCGGGCACGGCCAGCTCGTAGGGCTCGAGGAAGTCGTAGACTTGTTGCCAGCTGCCCCCGCAATCAGTACGTGCATGCAGTAGGGCTTGGAGGAAATAGAAACAGGGAGGCATAAAACGCACCGGAATCCCGGACCGAGATGCAAGACCGACTGGTCAGCGGACAACTCCAGCGTCGTCAGGTTCGACATGACAATCAACACCCCGTCGTCGATATTGTTCGATCCCTGCTCGTTATGAGTCACTCCATACACCACCAGAACACATCATCGATAGGCAACTCACCCGGATCCCCATGTGTCCACCTCCGCGCACCGCAAACTTCGCCTCCGCCGCCACCAGCTTCTCAAGCCCCCGGGCCAGCTGCGCGCTGGTCTGCGGCCGGAACACACAGCCCGGCGACATCAGCTCCGTGTTGGACCAGAAGTTCTGCGCCTCGTACTCGTACACCGAGCTGTTGGGCAGGTAGACCTGTTCCAGCGCCCCCTTGATGACGTTGCATCCCTTGGTGGCGGACGCACTGGCGCTGGCCAGCCCGGCCAGCGGCAGGAGGGTGTGGACTCTCATGGTGAGGGGAGAAAGTAGATAGACGGAGAGAGAAGAAGATGAACCCAGGAGACAACAAAGGGGATGAAGCAGCCAGAAAAGTGGACGAGGAGGAGGCTTTTAAAGCCCGGGCGTACAGGGCGTACGACCTGCAGTGAGCCGGCCAGACCCTCCGTTCGAGTCGACGCAGGAACGCTCTCCGCGGACGAAGGCCAGAAAAGTGGAGGTCATGAATCAGGCGCACCGGATGGGGGTGTGGAGCCAGAGAAAGAACGGTGTGTGCAACCAACTCATTCCAGAAAGATGTCGTAACTTAGTATGTCTACGCTGCCTTGAAGAGCAAGGCGGCAGGAATGGGAAGGAAGACGCAAATCAACGGTTCTAACTAGTGAGATCACTAGACTGGAAACTGGCTAGCTTGGGTGTTAGCACCGATCCAAAGGGGACTAGAGAGGGAGGAAATCGTGTACAAAGTGGAGTTCTTCACCCGAATTGGCACAGGCAATAGACAATACAGTAGCCGAGGCGGGCAAGGCCCACGTGGACTCCAGGATCGTAAGCAACTTAAGGAAATCCTGCTGGATAGCCGATCTAAACATAATCCGGAGGAGTTATGGGGATGTACAGATCTTGTGCATTGCGGTTCTGCACGGTTCGGAACCCAATTCCTTTGCCGGTCAAGGGGGGAAATTCGGCCGATGCTCTGTGGTTTCTTGTTGAGTGGAAGACAAAATGGCCCCGGATTCACTTCCCGATCCGGTGTAGCCCTAATTCCCCCCAACGTCTCACCAGCTGTCATTTGACGAAGATGCTAACTTATCCCAGCGGATCTCATCTTGTTATTATCATCATCAGGTTGCCTGTGGACTCCGTGAGATGATTACAAAGCGGCTAACGAGACTGACAGCTCCACTGAGAACGAGACGGCCATCGATATTGACAGCTCCACCGTCCAGAACACACGCACAACAAGATATTAATGCACTATTAAGACTTCCACCCTAATGCAGGGTAGGATTACTATCCACATTAAACTCCACCGTCCGAATAATCCCCTCCGTACTCTCCTTGCTGCCATGCGATGCCCCCATCGTCTCCGGCAGAATGTGCTCCTCACTGTCATCATTGGTGCCCCCGTGCAGCCGGGTCGAGTAGTGATTACTGGCAGACGCAAATGCCGGCGCATCGCGGGGGATCGAGCCCAGGGGGTGGCCGTACTTGCGCGACGCCGACTCGTGGTACCCGCCGCTGTGCGTTGAGAGGCCGAGCAGACGGGGAAAGTAGCGGCGCACAAAGGGACGCATCGCCGTGGTGCATCCGCCGATAATCCCCAGGTTGAGTTCGATGGTACACCACATGAGGGCATTGGTGGTTGTCCCTGTTCCTGTCAGTGCTGGTCCCAGTGGTTCAACTATAAAAAAAATGCGTACACGTGAGATCGGTGCTTTCGAGCAAGGTATACAGACTCGATAGACGAATGCAACTGATGACTCCGACCCTATCCCCAGATTAATTAACAATTAGCCCTGCCACTCCCTCAAGACCAGCGCCTCCCGATCAACACTCACAGGCATCCCATCGCCAGCATCACGCCCACCGCAAGCTTCTGTCGCATCGGCATCTGCAATTTCCGCAACCACGGACTAGTCCCGCGTCAGCCATCGCCTCCCCATTCCCGCTGCAAAAAAGGAGGAAGGAGGGGGACAAACATCGGCACCAAAGTGGTCATAAAGTCGGTCAAGATCCCCAGCCCTGCATTCGCAAAGTAAAACACCGGGCGGTTCATGCACGTCGCCTTCGTGATCGAGTAGTCCCACGAGGCGGCCACGGGACTACAGCTGAAGATGTTGGCCAGCACACTCGCCACGTTGTATCCCACCGCAATCACAATGACCGCCCAGACCGCGTAGTGGAAGCTTTTGCTGGGGAAGATGCGGAGGTAGAAGATTAGGACGGAGACTTTGGTGAACCCGGTTCCGGCGCAGTAGATGATGGCGGCGACGACGTTGAGCTGCGTGCGGGTTAGATTCGATAGAGCGCCAGCACAAGAGAAAGGGGGGGGGGGGGGGGTTTGCGGTGCAGGTACCTTGAGGAACCACGGGGTGAGCGAGCTGTAGGGCACGTCCCACATGTGTTTACCCAGACCCCAGTTGAGCACTTATCCATTAGCGCTGGCCGAGGGATTGTTTGCGTAAGAGTGCGACTTACTGTCCAGGGTTACGCCGGTGAGGATGCATGATAAAATCTGGGGGTAAGTCAGCGTGAGCTACCACCGCATCAAACCCTACAATAGGACACCACATACTACGGCGATGATCATCAGGTCTGTAGCTGGTTAGTCGAATAGAAAAGATACCCCCTGGCGGTGGGAGACCTACAATCATCGTAGGACACGCTGCGCACCAGATACATGCGCGTCCACATGCGCACCAGCAGGGCAATCACCGCCAAGGGCAGAAAGACACAGTTGACGACCAGGAACTTGAGGCCGCACGACGGGGGGTCGACGAAGTTGGAGACCTGCCCGGCCGGCGGCGCCATGGCCGGCGTGATGGAGGAGCTGTTGGTCATGGTGCTCAACTCGGCATGATCCTGATTGACCTGGGAGGAGGAAACCAAGCACCACACAAATGATTGTAAAAAAAAAAAAAACAAGATAACAAAGAAGATAACAAGAAGAGAGCGACGGGATGAGAATAGATCTGGGGAAAGGAAAACACAAGGGAAGGCAAAGCACAGACTGGGGTCGGGGATATAAGCAAACCAGCACCGTACAAGACCCCAGTTACAGCCACACCAGCATTCCCTCGAATGCCCCCCTCGCGTCTGTCTGTAAGATACACAGAGCCTGTCTTTAGAACCAACGAGACCGTCACCCAGGGTAAACCCTCAGCTCATACTCTACGAGGCAATTCGGGGCTACGCAGAAAGCTCGGCACCAGAAAAAGTGGCGAACTCAATCCCACCTGCTAGTGTGGATTCTGTGCGGGCAGCACACGTTTCTCTGGCTCTGCTCGTGGTGTCCGGAGCAGGGGATAGGATGAGACTAGTCGATTAAGTTCTATCGTCCGAGGGTGATGCTTCGATCTCAAGGAAAAATCCAGTTTGCAGACTTTCCAGCGGAGACTGTCCCTGATCAGCATCGACGATTGCCCAATTCCGTCTGGACTATTGCTCCTGACCACTTCAGCTTCTCTCTCGTGGGGAATCTCGATGTTTTTGGGACGATCACAGCTGGTTCCTCTCGTCTGGGGAACCAGACCTTGGTCACGGTACGGATCTGAGGGGGAAGTTGCCCACCGCCGCGCAGCGAGAAGAACAATCCAGCAAACCTGGGAAATTGGATATAGTCCCTAATCTTCCGGCGAGACCCAAACATCTGGAACCGAGGCAGCCGTCGTGGGCCCCAAGCGAAAAGGCAGAAACAAAACGCTGGATGGGCTCCACCTGGCAGCGGTCCTGTCCGCTTCTCTCTGGCAGTCGGCAGTGTCTGGAAGGCGACCTGATCCCAGGTGGGAACGAGTGTCATGAAATGACCGTCGACTGAACCAGAACTAACGACATGCAGTACCAACCAAGTGGGGCGAAGCGAAGCCACCAAGAAAGAAGGAAGGTCGACCTCGGAAGTTGAGCAACCGAAGGAGTGAGAGCGTTCCGATAGCATCTCCCCATTGATTAGTTGGTGTTTCGCGCAGGAGGCAAGCATCTGGGAGGCGGGATTAAGCTTTAATTCATCCTTTTTTCCCCTGAGGAGTTCCAGTTCCTGCGAAGAGTGTGATGGTCAGATTGAGTGCTGACAGGCAATGTACGCAGGACGGCTAAGTTTGCCTGGAATACGAGGAGGGGCGGGCCCTGGCGAAGCTGGAGCTAAAGAACTGGACCGGGCGGGAAATTGCACAGTCTGGGAGTGTGCCTGGGAGATGAGCGGATGACGCAGCTCGATATTTCGTCCGGTTCACTGGTGACTAGTTATTCAGTGCATCAGTGGTGGACTGTGGGGGACTAGCGGTACTAGCGAAAAGAAGATGACGCTAAACTGGCACTAGTTAGGGATAGCTCCGGTCTGGCCCTAAGATGCCCTCGACTCGTCTCCACACCCACCACACACCGGAAAATGAGCCCATCGGGCCATGGGGTGAGAGGATGGATGTAGCCCTGCGCTGGATAGGCGTTATGCAGCAGCTTATATCGATCTAATCTATACTGACTACGTACAGCATCACGCATTCCAGACAACTTCCCCTTAACTAAACAAGGACTACATAGAGATTAGCATACCTTACTAAGTTCATGCAGCAGCAGACAACTACGTCAACAACCATCCCAACCCAAGGGTCTGCATTGCAAATCAAACTTAATCCCCTTCTCCCCAATCAGCACTAAAAACCACCCCAAGGGCCCATATGGACCAGGAACCCCCGCCACCCGCGGGACTGCAGTGCGCGCATCCATGGACAAGCGACTGTCATGCCTGTCCACCTCCTGTCGAGCTCTGCCAAATTTGGTCTACCCTCCATCGAACCAATCTTTTATGGAGATTGTAAGCGAGCAGAGAGACCCAGCGAACCAGCTTCGGAAGACGGTCCGCAAACTCTCTTAGCGAGCTGTGCCTGAGTCGATATCGCCCAAACTACATGCCCAACTACTCTGCATACACCATCTCATTCAAGCATCATCATTCTTACACAAACTTAGAAAACCCCCTTCAATGCAACTGTCGTCAGTCACTCCTCAACACCACACCATCCTAGATACACACACACGCACAGAAATCTAAATCTCCCGATTGGGCCCATACCCCCCCGTAATCCCCCGCAACCACTTCCCACCGAAGAACAGCGGCACAGCCACGAGCAAACTTGCCGTCTGGATGGCGGTCATCTCGCCGAACACGGACGCCACGCCCTGGCGCGCGATCCAGTCGGTAGCGTAAAGCGAAAGGAGCATGCCGATCGTGTTGCGAATGACGAAGATGATCACGAGGGCTTCGCCTGCGATCTGCAGGGGTTCGTATTTTAATTAGCACGGATGGACTTAGCTAGTAAGATCGGGGGGGGGGGGGGGGACTATGTTGACACGTAGTAATGTGGAGGGAGGGTTGGGTTTGGGTTGAGTAAGAAAGGGTATATAACTATGCCCACATCCCACTCCTTCGTGAAGAAAAAGCCATGATTATCGCACAAGAACAGGAACAACTGGAGACAAAACTCACCCGGGGATAACAATCCAACGCATACGTCACCGCGACATTCGAAATCGCCGCCACGCCGAACGCCTGCATCGCGTACCCCACGGCCGCCCCCATCCAATGCGTCTGGTGGGCGACACACAACCCGAACATCAAGATCCCGCCGGGTCCGATCACCCCCGGCACGATCAATGCAGGGAGACGGTACTCCGGTTGACGTTCGCCGCCGCGACGACGGGTGTATCGCGTCGAGATCTGGTCGATGAGTCGGCCGCCGACATAAAAGGCCAGCAGCGAGCCGATGAAGCCGGCGAGCGAGAGGAGGCCGATGTCGCCCGCGGGCCAGTTGTACGGTGGGGAGGTGAAGGTGCGGGATGCGGTGAGTTGGACGACGATGTTCCTGTTCAGTCACAAACATATTGTCAGCGAGGGGGGAAAAAGGTGATGTTGGGAATCAGCCCCGGGGGGTGAAAGGGGGATTACCATCCGACGGAGACCCCGATGGTGAAGGCGCACCAGAGGAGCTGCGGATAGCCTGCAGCAGACAAGATGACGAGGACCGTGCGGATGAATGAGGCATTGGGGTTGTAGCCATGCGTCAGGGAGAGCGTGCCCCACGAGGAGGAGGAGGAAGGCCGGGTTTTCTCTCGTCGAGGGAGATACGTGGTCTCGCGGAGGGTGAAGACACCCACCCCCCATACAGCCCCCGCGGCAATGGCCAAAAACCAGCACATCCAACGCCATCCCGCATCCTGCACGAGATACGCATTGATCAACGGCCCCACAAACAGGCCCGAGGTCAAAGCCAGATGGAAGATCATCAGCCAGTGGCCGCGGCCCTCCGGACGCACCATATCCGCCACGACCGCCGGGACCGTCGCATCGGCGGCGGCAGCGGCCAGACCAGACAGGATGCGCGCCCCCAGCAGCTCTGCGTATCCCGTGGCCCTCGCGGACCAGACATTCATCATCGACAGAGCCAACAAGGCAGCCAGATAAACCGGACGCGTGCCGACCACCCGCATGAGCGGGACCCAGACGAGATTCCCCAGCCCGAAGCAGAAGACGTTCAGCGAGACCAGGTGGCCTGCCTCTGTGGAGGAGACGTGGAACTCGGAGATGATCGCTTTGGTGGCGACGGTGAAATTGCTGCTGTTGACGTTGGCGAGGAAGGTGAAGCAGCAGATGGTCAAGTACGTTGTGAGTTTGGTGGAGAGAGGCCAGTTCTGTGGAGCTCAAGGTGAGTAAGAAGAAGCCTAGTAGTAGTAGTAGTAGTAGTAGCCTGAGCCTACCTTAGGGTCATGGGGGTCCAGAGGGGGGTCCGCATTTTTGACGTCGTAGCCATCCTCGACCCCATCTTCATCCGCGTAGTCGATGTGGTTTGACGTGGCTTTGTCCTCGTTCATGGTGAGAGACACAGTAGCGGTGAGAGGCAAGAGGGAGAGGAAGCGAGGATGGAGTCTTTGGCGGCTCATCCGCCTTTCATATAAACGAAGCCCTCCATAAATGCCGTGCCAAGATGACACTCGGATAAGCCGACTGGCCCCTGTGTGCGAATTGAAGACCATTGAATAGTGTAGTAAGCGGTGGAGAGGCGATCCGAGAGCGATCGGCAATTGACCCCGCACTGTGTGTGAGATTAAGGAGGGATCAAGTCTGGGGAGAAGCCGGGGAAACCCATTCAGGGCTCGGGTTCTCCGCATGAAACTATCCCCGAGATTCCTGCTTATAGTATCTGCTGCATTGTCAATGGTTGATCGCAATTGCACACAAGTTGTATTACAGACTATCGATACACTACACCACCTTACACTAAACCGTACTCTTCCTTGAAGCACATCTCGACCCCCCCGTCCCAGCGCTTACCCCCGTCCCCGGCACCCTCACATAATAATCGCATAACCCCCCATGCTGCACCCTCCGCCACTGCCCGATATCCCTCCGCTCGACATGATCCAAACTCGTCGTGGTCGGCACGCGCTTCTGGCCCAGCCCCAGATTATACGGCCGGTACTCGGGGTCCTGCTGTAAGCGATGAATGACACTGGCGTGGATGCGCGCCCCATCGGGGAGCGGCCGACGCAGGCCGCCGACATGCCAGCGCGTCTGCTTGACGGAGCCATCGCGATTGACCTTGGGCCGTTTGATGGGCAGACACTCGAGCAAGCGCCAGAATAGGGTCTCGACCCCGTGGCCCGACTCGTACTCCAGGGAGTCATGCAGGGGCGCCCGCTCGGCCATGCGCACGATCGCCGGATCAAATTGCATCAGCTTCGGCTCCGGGCCAGCAGCCTCCTCGACCTCGATCAACTTTCCTTGGTCTGGAGGTGCTGAAGCACGACCACCGTCACCCCCCTCGGAGCCATCCACCCCCTCCCCCTCCGATGCTGTCGCAAGCCCCCCCACGACCGGCACCAAATGACACCCCAACTCCTGCAACTGCACCGGATCAAACGTCAAACCGACATGCGTGGCTTCCTGCACCATCCACATGAGTGGAATCTGACTCACTGGCCAGACCTTCGCCCCGGGGACCCCGGGCTCCACCAGCGACTCATGCCCACCGCCGACATCACTATGATCGCCCGCGAAATACACCTCCTCGAAATCCGTCTCCAAGACCGGACTCAACGGCACCCCCCAGAACTGCTGCTCCGCGCGCTCCGCCCAGGTACTCACCCGTCCCTTCTTCGCATGCGCCCCGCGCAGCCGCTCAAACAGGACCGGCTGGAACTTGATGCGCTTCTCATCAATACTCACCGCATGACGCATGTAGCGGGGACGGGGCATCGTCTCCATGTCCTTCAGCACGTCCTTATTGAACTCCGCCACGCTGTTGACCGTGTCGAACAATCCAAGAAAGTGCACGAGGCCGACGGAGCGACACATCGTGTCGCGACACAGTCTCAAGAAATTGTCGGCTTGTTGGGCCTCGCGGTCCCCGTGCGCGTACTTCCAGGACAGAAACGCTTGCCAGACGAACGGGATGAGTTCTTCGTTGTCGGCGGAGATGAGGCCGACGAAGTCGAGCATCTCGTTCAGGAATCGGGCCGTGTAGGCGCCGCGGGAGAAGCCAAAGAGGTAGATGTGCGAGCCTGGACGCCAGCGTCGGGCTAGGAATCGGTAGCCCCCGATGACGTGTTGGTCGAAGGAGGTGGCCAGGGCTTGGTCGATGACTTTGCTGGCGGGGAGGTTGCTGAAGGGCCGGATGGCGGCGTTGGCGAAGGTGCCCGGGGTGATGTCGGTGCCGATGCCGGCTGCGGGGGAAGTTAGGGTTGTGGATGAAGGCGAAGGGGGGAGGAGAAGGGTGACCTACGTTGGTAGTAGCAGTCTACGTCTGTTAGTTGTGGCTATTTCTAGAGGTGTGGGACAGACCGGGTGAACGACTCACATCGATTGTCCTTGCTGCGGTCCAACATCCGGAAAATCTTGAGGATATTGCTCTCTCCTCCGTCGACTCGAAAGGTATTGCCCGTCCCATCAAAACACAGCACCAATTCTTGGGTGGGCTTGTTGGGGACCGCCGGCCGGTCGCAACCGCAAGGGTCGTAAGTCATTGTGCTGGTGGGTAGAAAGTAGGATGGATGGATGTATGCAACACACGGGGAAGAATGGCCTGCGTTGCTGAAGAAGCCTTTATATCTGACGCCGATGCCCCCAATAGTTCATCCGAGATAGTAGGGAAATTGGGCCACCTACCAATAACCCTGCATCGTGGCTGAGAGGGGCAGAGCCTGTGTGCGACTCACCGTTTGGCTGCATTGCCAATGGATTGTCACCGACGATCGACCAAGATGCATCATGCATCAAGGCTGATGGACAGCCTTAAGCGCCTTACAGCATGACGGACCCATTGGCTCCTGCGGCTCTCTTTCAGGCCAACCAGTACTCAGCCGGTGCCTGCAGTACAGCCCACGCTGCCTGCTGGGCCTGCTCAACCTGACTCTGATGCCTGGTTGATGATATTCCAAACAACAAAATTTGTCTGCTGGCAGAATTGGCCCGAAAACCCTGCCTCCCAATCAGGTCGCTGCGATGTGACGGATCAACCCAGCATGATGCCAGCCTGCATCGATAGACCCTCGATGATCTGCACCTCTGCTGCAGTCATTCCCATGCCATCACCAACAAGGCAATTCGTTCCAGGGTTTGCCCAGCGAGAGGTTCAGGAGATCGTTCGTTCTCGTCGGCCGAGTTTTCGCGGTGCTGGGTGGTGACTGTCTGTCTGACGCACACAGAACTTCCTTCCCTCACGTAAGACCCCTGAGTCAGAGCCACGTCTCATGGCGACCAGGCAGCAGAGCCTGAGGCTGACAGCGATGGCAAATGACCATCTTGTTCGGAGGGATCCGAGAACGCTGTCGGAGGCCGACGATGATCTTCGGCCAGAATGAAGATAAACCCCGATTATGAGTCGGCCGGAGAAGGCGTCCTGGGCGAGTGCCTCGCTTTGCAGCACAAGAGGAGAGCTTCTTTCTCTCCACGTAGCGCTCCATCCCTCTGTTGGCAGTCCAGACGCTGGAGATTCTTTCCCTTGATTGGTACGGTCGCATGGACTTAGAATCGGCCTCGGGGAAAAGTCATGCTGTGCGGTGTATTGCCTCTGTCGTTTTACCGTGCTGAAAACGTCTTGGTCGCCTTCTTTCATCGTGCTGTATGAACAGCAAGCCTGATCACGGCCCCCGCGATTGTTGTCTGCAGGAAAGAGAGATGATTGAAAATAGAAAGGTGAATGGCATGCAAAGATCACGCGGCACCAGAGAAGAACAGAGTGAATGAACAAACGAACATCACTGCACCGTCCATCTAATTCACTGCAGAATCCATCTACAGAGAAGACGGTGAATGGACCCCCTTCTACACATCTGGCTCGTCAGTAATCATGTTCATGAATCCAGGTATCAACTGCTCTATGTACAAATCCCAAACTCCGTGTCTATATGATCCCACACCCGACCAACCGCCCATGCTGCCCATCCATTCCTATCCAAATGCTAATACTAGTACATCATTATATGTTCATTACATTTCACGTGAATTCATGATTCCCGCCGAGGAGGGGGGGTCTCCAGCTCGGCCATCGGCTGCAGCTCAATCACCTCCGGCCCTTTGGCCTCGTCCGCGGCAGCCCCAGCCTCGTCCGCAGAAGGAGGCTTATCCTCGACCACCGGCGGTTCCTCATCGACCGCGTATCGCCACCGCCCGTCGGGCTGCAAGAACGTCCGGAAGGCGTATCGTTTGTTAAGCCGCGTGGTATGCTCCCGACGCTGCTGGCTGGTCATCGCAAAGGTATTGGTGAAGTCCCCCAACATGCGACTGTTGGCCACCCACGGCACGATCGCCCCAATCGACCGGGGCATGCGCGGGCCCCGGAACCGGCCCCGACGCGTGCCGAAGACCACCAGTACCATCACCGTGTCCAAGGCGATCAGCAGGAGGGCGATAGCCAGGGAGGGGACCGAGGGCACCATCGCCCAGGTGTTCGAGATGACCGTCCCATTGGCCGCGGGACGGGGCGCCTGCAAAGGCAAAAGGTACACGTTCCGCCACACCGAGAAGTAGGTGGTGTAGACCCATTGGTACACGGCCTTGGAATGTTCCATCAAGGGCTGGACTTGCAGAGGGAGCAGATGGTCCTGATCCTGTTTGTACAGCCGAGCTACCAAGAACCCGGCCCAATCGTACGAGGAGACATAAGACCCGTTGCGTCCCGGTTCCTCCCCCACAAAACTCTGCGGAATGGCGGCAAAGATCTTGTTGAACTGTCCCATCGCTGCGGTCGCATTGTCATACATCGCGCCGGACGTGATGGAAGTGCCCGCGATCGCATCCACGTCGGCAATCTGCCCGCGTTGGTCAAAAGTGACACTAAAATTCTGCATCTGTACTTTCGGCTCGCAGTGCAGCGCGATGGTGTTCGCCGTGGTATACGCCGAGGCAGCCGTGTAATTCCATCGACCGACCACGAGGAAGGTGGACTCTTGACACGCGTCCCGGTCGGAGGACGCCGAAGGCGAGAGAAAATGAATCGACAGCGCAATCGCCTCGTGCGGTCGCGTCAGGCCAGTCATGTTCACCGTGCACTCGCGACTCGCGTTGCGGAAGGGACGATACCGCCACGTCTGCTGATGGTCGGTTTGGTGCATACTGGTGTTGACGTCCAGAGATACACAGTCGAGTTCTGCGCCGATTCCGAGGGTGGTCGCACCATACATCACATCGGGATCCGGATCGGTGTTGTGGATCGGCAGGAAGGTGTAATTGGCCGCCATCCACGATAAGAGCGGGACCCCGCTGGCGACACTGGTTTGAATCAGATCAAACTCGGTGAAGTCGGCGGCGAAGTCGGTTCGTTGAAAGTGGTCCTGGCTATAATTGGCATACAACGACTTTGACGGCACGAAGGACGCGGTGAGCTGTTGGGTGAAGAGACCACCCGCGACCACCGTCAAGACCACGTTGGCCACGCAGGTAAAGGAAACCAAGCCCAAGAGAACATGGCGATCCTGGATGGCTTTCACCAAGACGGCCCAGGGGTTCTGTGATCCATAGTTCAACGACAAGGATGACTGCGCAGTGGCCATGCCGCGTTGCAGGTGGACCCACGGCTCCAGAATACTGATGTTGCGTAGGATCGAGTTGCAAAGGGCGCCGACCGAGGAGGCAACCACCGATGGGAGGAAGGAGAGGACAACCTGCAGGAAGCTGGAGCCCGACTGGGTCAGATGCTGAAAACTGCCGTCGTGGGCGAGCGACGCTACTGTCAATCCCATGATCGTGATGATCGCAGCTAAGAACAGAAATTCGACGATGAAGATCGGGACGACGAGAAAATGAGGCATGGGGTCGACCCGCGTCCGAGTCGGATACGGCAGAATCACCGGCGAACCTGCCCGGGAGGTTAGCCAGTTAGCCCGCGGGGGGGGGATAGATGTTGCGACCACGAACTCACCATCTGCAGAGACAATTCCTAACCGTGGACCGTCCGGGCCCTGCTGCCATTGGAGGCGACAGGTATCGAGAATCTGGCGCAATTGACGCGTCGAGAACTGGTGGAATTCGGTTTGCGGATCGGCCAAGATATTGGTCGGCCCAAACACATCGGTGAGCATACTGCACATCGCGCCAATGGAGCCTGGATCACTTTGCAGGATGTTCGGCCGGGACTGATAGAAATAGATCAGGCACACCGCGAGAACAATACCCAAGGCGAGTATGACCTCGGAGCAGTAGGCCGCAACCGTCACGACGGAGATGGTGACCTGGGTCGAAAATCGCAAGGCGGGCACGCTGGTCGGTTCCTGATCGGGGTTGAAGAGCCGGGCGAAGGTCAGCACAAAGGTTTGCACTACGCCGCGCGTGACTTTTGATTCGAACTCATCGGGCGTCATGATCTCCGACGCGTCCAGGACGAGCAGCGGTTCCAAGTCGCGCACGTTTTGACTGATCACAGGCAGTTCTGTTACGGTGGTGTCGCCGCTCGTCTGATTGTTCTCGATAAATAACATATCGCCCGTGTAAGGCGCACGTTGCGCTAACAAGCCTTGGAAAGCATTGAGATTGAAGAGCTGGTCCGACAGCGCGGTCTCGGTGTGGGAGAAGACCGTCGTGTTGGTGATCGAGCTGTTGGCGTGCATACTCAGTCGCGCGGTGGCTTGGCGATAATCGATCTGGCAGGCGAAAATGGTGGCGGAGGAGGTGAACCCGGAGCCCAGTGCGCTGATCCTATCTGCTCCGGCTTCGGTGGCATTGACCGAGAGGACGATCCCGTACAAATCGTAGGGATGCTCACACCCCCGGGCGGTGAACGCGGAGCTCAGGTCCGGCGAGTGGTGCGACCGGTTGGGCCACACTGGCTCCCAGTATCGAATTTGCAGGTAGTCCGTGTCGGCGAAGTAGATGTTCTTGTAGTGAAAATCCAGGATGCAGCCGCGGTCCGTGCCAGTACTCTCCGGCAGTTGGACATCCGTCACGTTCCAGGAGACGGTCGGTGGGTACGTCGAATTATCGTTCACCGAGACCGAGAGGTGGTTGTCAATCAGGACATCCCGACAGGAAAGTTGAGCCCAGTAGATGGTCTCATTCAACGTCCAGACGGTATTCTCTTGTCGGTCTTCGAGGCTGATTTCGACGGGGGCCACCGCGTAGTTGGCGGAGCGGGAATCGCGCAGTTGGGTGTTGGTGGTCATGACCGAAGCGAGCGTCATGTTCGGGCTACTCTCCTGCGCAAACATCCACTCCGCCTGCCGGTCGAGATCCAACAGCTGCGGCCAGGTCTTCATGGCGTCGTCATCGAGCCGGTTGATCTCCCGTAGTTCCAGGAGGGTACTCTGCAGCGCGGGAAGAAACATGCGAATGAGCACGGTGGTGACCGAGACGAGCAGGACGATCCAGTGGCCGCGACGGGCCGAGGTCAGCGGGGTGAGAAACGACTGGCCAAAGTTGTAGTTGATGCAGAGGACCGAGGCCGGGGCACCCTCGGGGCGAGCGATCTGAAAGTAGGGTTCCAAGCGCAGCACATCGTAGTCAATGAAGGTCCAGAGCGTCACGAGGGCCAAGGCGCCGATGATGGGCAGGTAGTTGTAGGCGAATGACTGCAGGTCGGAGACATCGTCGGTGTCGGAAAAGAAAACCAGGCCCCCGTATTGCTCACAATATCGGCGCAAACCCTCCACGGTGATCAACATGGCAAACATGATCGCGACGATAAGGGCCAGGAAGACGGGACGCAAGGCCATGGGTCGCCATGCCCCCGAGGGGGTGGTGGGCGGACGGGGTTGTCCATCGGGCGAGATTGGGCGCGATCGGAAGAAGGGCGGAAGACGATGACGGTCTCCAGAGCGGACAGGTTAGTGGTCCGTGACGGGGAGAAAAGGAGGAGCACACATACTTAGGACAGGCAGCCAGAAATTGTAGAGTTTCTTTTCCAGACGCCTGAACATACTGGATGCGCCAGGCTCTGGAGAAAGAGAGGGTGATGGGGAGGGGAAGGGCGGCGGATGGTCATGGGCCCGAAGACTGATTGTTCATGGACAAGACAAGCGCTGACGAAGCCAAGCAACTGGATCATCGCTGACGGTGGGTGGGGAAGGAGGACGACAAGCGCATCAAGCGCATGACGGCGGAGGACTGATCAGCGTGCAGTGACAGGAAGAGTCGGAGGCCGACGAGCGAACGAGATAGACGGAGCGGAGGAAGAGAGCGATTGCATGCGAAAGAGCATGAGACGGGAGGAGGAGTGGGGAAGGGAGGGGGGCGGAGGGGGAGAAAGAAAAAAAAGACAGAATGAGGGACTGAGTGAAGGGATTGAGTAAAGGAGAGAGAAAGAGAGCGTAAGAGTGTGAGAATGAGAGTGAGGCAGTGAAGAGAGAGCGCGAGAGAAGCGACCGATGACGATCGAGGTTAGAAAACTTGGCGGGTGAAGGATTCCTGATTTGGGTCTGAGAATGCAGGGCTGGGCGGCCCTCAGTCCGTCCGGTTGTTGTGATGCGCACTTCAATGTTAGGCAGTGACTCCGCAGCCAATAGCAACTCCAGCGAGTCAGGGGACACGCGAACCATTGGTGCCAAAAACAGAAGAAAAGTGGAGTATATCTTGGCACGGGCTCCAGCACTAAACCCAAAGAGTCTCCCGTGCGCCCCATTTCGGCCTCCCCATTGGGTTTAGCCTGTCTGGCCTTGCCTTATTGGGTGGTAGTAGTAATCTAGGTATACCTGCCAACCAGGTGTCTACTCTATACTATATATATACTATACTACAATCTGATTATTGTAGATATGTAGACTAACGCCTTCTCAAGCTATAACTATTGACTTCCTGCTTCTCTTGGCTGAGTAAGTGAAAAGCCCCAGTGTGGCACTTTCGCGGATATACTGTGGTATATCTCGTACGGAAACCCAGCGGACACTGGCTGCCATACCTAGTATGTCTTGAAATCCCGACATTGGCCTCAGTTGCGTTTTTACTTAGTTATGGTCAACGCAGTACTGCGTACTCTTGTGGACCATGCACCACCCGTTTCTCCTAACTCCTCCTCCGGAAGCATACTTCCTGGCTTAGTATTCACGCTCCGACTCTGGAGCAAAATAGTCTTGGCGCTTATCCGCCCAGGAATTGGGTGGATTGTCGCGCCAGTGGCTGGACGATCGATGCGTCTGGCCTGAGGGTTCACCGCGTAGGTGGCTTGACTCCAGTCCGTGAGAAAACTTCCTGTTGTTTCAACCGATGCTTTGCTTCAGTGACACTCATCAACTTACTTGGGGGTGGTCAGCCACTCGCGAGACTTTCTGTGTGACTGGTCTTCTGCTCCCATCCGAATGCCCCGGCCCGGTTGGCAATCCGCCTGCATTGAGCTCACGCTGCTACTAGGGTGCCCACTGACCCCATTGACTTCCTTTCCATAAACCGTCGATGCTACCTCATTCCTGTGGATTAGCCAGATTATGATACCCCCAGTCCCCCCTTGGTGGTTGAGACAAGCTCTGTGACTGAAAGCCATCCACAGCACCTCAGCTGGTGCAATCTCTGTTGCCAGCGCCAAGTGATCTGGCGCGTGTCTGTGAAGCTGGCCGGCTCTCGGCAAGACACGTTGTGCACGAGGAGAGGGGTGGTGAGACGGTGAGACTACGTATGCCCAGCAGTATTCCCTGGCCAGATATACCGGATGGTTGCAGTGATGTGCAACCAGATTGCCCCTTGGGGGAGAGTCGGACGATATCCCGGGGATTTTACAAGTGATATAAAAGTAATTTGTGGTGAAAAGGGAGTGCGGGGAAAGAGGGTCAATTAAGCATTATTGGGCGTCTTTTTTCCCCGGCTGACACATACATACAGTATCTGGAGTGTCAACTTCCTCGGTGGATCCCCATCCCGTCCCATCGCATCGCATCTCTCTCTCTCTCCAGTGACTTTCAGGTGACTTTTCCTGGGGAAAGCTGAGGCAGATCCCTGCTCATGTATTCCGAAATTTCATCCACTCAAATCTCCCCAGACGGGGACTGTTTCAACAGGTTGCACTGCATGGCTGGGGAGGGTTTCACCACAGGATCCCCCCCCCCCGATAGTGCAATCATCCTGGTTCGGGATAGAGGCTAAAGTGAGTGACTACAGGACGACGTCCTTGTCTCCGGCCTAGGATTCCGATCCCTCCTCCAGTGTAGTGTTTTCCCCAAACTCTCGTCAAAGCAAAGCATTGGGCTCCAATCAGCCCATCGAGCTGCGATGACACCGTAGTGCCGTAGGAGTAAACACACCCGGTGGTCTACGGGGTTGAGAGGTTGACAGCAGCAAGAATCTGCATGAGATGAACGGGTTTGCACCTGACCTCACAGACGGTGTTTGACGTGTTTATAAAGAGTGGGATTTCAGACTGCGGGGTCTCTTATTTTCTCTCCTCCGCTCTTCTTCTTCTTTCCCTTGCCTTCTCCCTCCACTCTCTCCCAACCCATCATTCCATCCATTCATAATGTTGGTGGGCAACATCTACGTGATTGCTGGGGTCTCCGTCGTGGGCGGTGCGCTCTTCGGCTTCGACATCTCTTCCCTGTCCGCTCAACTGAACGAGAACTCCTACAAGTGTTACTTCAACCAGGGTCCCCTGGGCCCGCCCTTCACCGACGATGACGACTGCTCGGGCCCGACCTCACTGAACCAGGGCGGAATTACTGCTGCCATGGCGGCCGGCTCGTGGCTGGGGGCTTTGATCTCGGGTCCGCTGTCCGATCGCATTGGACGCAAGACTTCCATCATGATCGGCTGTGTGATCTGGTGCGTGCTGTCCTTCATGTTCTTCCTCCTAGTGGTTGCCTCTCGAAGCTGACACCATGAACACCACACAGGTTAATCGGCTCGACCATCATCTGTGCATCGCAGAACATCGGAATGCTGGTAGTGGGCCGCATCATCAACGGCCTGTCGGTCGGCATCGAGTCCGCCCAGGTGCCAGTCTACATCAGCGAGCTCTCCCCACCCTCCAAGCGCGGTCGGTTCGTCGGCATGCAACAGTGGGCGATCACCTGGGGGATCCTTATCATGTTCTAGTACGCGACCCCCTCTTGCTCCAGCCCATCCACCTCTTACCGCCCGCACCCTGACTAACATGATCTATCAATGACCCAGTATCTCCTACGGATGCTCCTACATCGGCGGCCAAAAGTCCTACAACTACAGCACCGCCTCCTGGCGCGTCCCCTGGGGCCTGCAGATGCTCCCCGCCGTCTTCCTCTTCGGCGGGATGATGCTTCTGCCCGAATCCCCGCGGTGGCTGGCCCGGAAGGACCGATGGGAGGATTGCCATCGCGTGCTGGCTTTAGTTCACGCCAAAGGCGACTTACACCATCCCTTCGTGGCGCTGGAGATGCAAGATATCCGCGACATGTGCGAGCTGGAACGGCAGTTCAAAAATGTGAACTACCTGGATCTGTTCCGGCCGCGCATGCTGAACCGAACGTTGATCGGGTTGTTTACGCAGATCTGGTCGCAGTTGACGGGGATGAATATTATGAGTCTGCTCTCCCCCTTCTCCCCCGGTCCGGACGGGTGTCGAGTGTGGTGCAGGGCTAATCATGCTGCGTAATAGTGTACTACATCACCTACCTCTTCTCCATGGCCGGCTACTCCGGCAACGCGACCCTCCTGGCCTCGAGCATTCAGTACATCATCAACGTCGTGATGACGCTGCCGGCGTTGATCTGGATGGACCGCTGGGGTCGTCGCCCGCCATTGCTGGTGGGATCGGCCTTGATGGCGATCTGGATGTACGCGAATGCCGGCATCATGGCCGTGCACGGGGTGGTGGTGCCGGGGGGCATTGACGGGGTGGCGGCGGAGTCGATGCGTCTGCACGGGGCGGCTGCGAAGGGGTTGATTGCCTGCACATACTTGTTTGTCGGTACGTACACTACACACTCCCCCTGTCTTGGTAGCTTGTCTCTTCCACGACTCATGAATCTCTAATCTAATCGATCGATCGATCTATCAGCCTCATACGCCCCCACCCTCGGCCCCGTCTCGTGGACCTACCCCCCCGAACTCTTCCCCCTCCGTCTCCGCGGCAAAGGCGTCGCCCTCGCGACCTCGGGCAACTGGGCCTTCAACACCGCGCTGGGACTGTTCACGCCGACCGCCTTTGCAAACATCCGGTGGAAGACATACATTCTCTTCGGGGTGTTCAACACGGCGATGTTCATTCACTTCTTCTTCATCTTCCCGGAGACGGCCGGGAAGACGTTGGAGGAGACGGAGGCGATGTTCGAGGATCCACAGGGGATCCGGTACCTCGGCACGCCAGCATGGCGGACGCGGGTGAAGACGCGTGCGGTGCGGGAGATGGAGCGCGGGCATCTGGATTTGGCGTCGAAGGGGGAGGAGACCGGCCATGCGCATGCGGAGCAGACTGGGGTTTGAACTCGTCTGGGTGAACTGCTGGCGGGACTTTGTCTAAGATTGGAAGAGGGGGGTGAGATCAATCGTGCCTTCAATCCGTACAGCAACTCTGTTTGTCTAATGATCGGTCGCATTCGCCCATAATACTTTGTCTGCGGAGAAAGCTGGAGCAATGCGTACTTAGCACCACCCCACTGCACTAATGCAACCACATAATTAATTCTCTTCGCCGGAATTATTTCAAGCTATCCTCAAACCCCAAAGATGCTATGCTCATGCCATCTGCAAGCTATGTGCCGCTCGGTTCCAGAAGCGAACCACCCCACAACCATACTAGTATGTACAGTATATGTTCATCCAACCCTCTCCGCAGCAGCCTCAAACAACCCCTGAATATCATCCCGCCACTGCTGGACATCCACGCGCTTCACCCGCCGATCATAACTCATCAGCCCATTCACCTCCCCCTCGACGTCGGTCGTCTGCGTCCACACGGCCCCGCTGCACGCATACTGCCGCACCTGATCCTGCAGCTCGGTCAGCAGCATGTGGCCCCGGGCGTTCCAGGCGTCGAGGTCGGCGTCCATCTCGTAGGTCTGGTTGATCGTATTGATGGCCGCTTGGTTGTTCCAGAGGCTGTTGTGTGTGGTTGGTCAGTATCGGTTCGTCACTTGGTGGAGCGGGTTCATCTGTCCCCATAGGAGAAGGGGAAAGGGGAACATACTGCTCGATGGAGAGGTTATGTCCCACGCCCCCGAATTCACCCTGGATTGCAATCCGGGAGGGATCGTAGGGGGTGGATGGGGTGGAGTAGAAGGGAGTGCCGCATTGGGGGTTGGCGTAGTGGTGGTTATCCTGGAGATGTTCGTGTCAGTTAGGGTTGGGGGAGGGGGTCAGAAACATGAACCACCACCACCACAACAAGGACGATGAAACGTACGTGAAAATCCCCCGCCCCATGATCATGCCACCCCGAGGTCGAATCGACCAGCCTCGTCGGATCAAGCTGCCGGACGCGCTCCGTGAGGGCAAACTCGGGGTAATACGAGGTGATCTGGCCCCAGCCCTCATTGTAGATGATCCAGCCCAGAATACTAGGGTAGTTTTTCAATTGGTTTACCATCAGATCCAACTGACGGACGAACTCCTGCTGCTGAGACTCTTGGATGTTCTCCACCAGGCGGAGGGAGGGCATGTCTTGGATGACCAGCAGCCCCAGCTCGTCGCAGGCGCGGTAATATAGCGCGGGCTCGACTTTGATCTGTCTGTTGTGTGAGAGGTCCGAAGTGGATTGTCTGTTGGCGAAAGGAAGGAAAGGGACGACGTACGTGCTTCCGGACCATGTTGAAGCCCAGATCTTTCAGAACGCGCAGATCGTACTCCATGGCTTCCCGGGTCGGGGGCGAGTACAGACCATCCGGCCAGTAGCCCTGGTCCAGGGTGCCGAACAGAAAAGTGAATTCCCCGTTCAGCAGCGGCCGCTGGATGCCGTTGACTTCGCCCCGCGAGATGGTGCGGAATCCCAGGTAGCTGGAGACCATGTCCTCACCCAGGGTTACCGTCACGTTGTAGAGGTCGGGCGACTCGGGCGACCACAGGTTGGGGTCTGGGACGTGGAACTGGAAGGGCTGGTTCGAGGTGCCGTCAGCGCACGCGATCACCGAGTCGTCCTCGAGGATGGCGATCTGCACTGCCGTGCTGTGCTCGGAGGCGCTGTGGACGGTCACATTGACTACGTCGGTTAGTCCGTTGGTCCTCGAGAGATGCCTGGGGGGGGGGTAGGACCGAAATACCTTGTCCGTACATGTCGCCGCTCAGGTCCAGCTGCGTGATGTAGTTGGCGGGGGCAGACTCGATCCAGACGCTCTGCCAGATACCACTGCAGGGGGTGTAGAAGATGTGACTGGGCACCAGACGCTGCTTGCCAATGGGAATCACATAGTTGCCCCTGTCGGTGGGATCGTGGACGTACACCAGGCTGTGGTTCGTTGTCAGTGGTGCGGCATAACATAGCGAGATAGGGAGAGGGAAAGGATCTCGCAGCCTACAGCTCGTTGTTCGTTGTCGCGTTGATAAACGAGGTGATGTCCACGGTGAATGCAAAGTATCCACCGCGGTGAAAGCCCGCTTGCTGTCCGTTGACAAAGACCGTGGCTTCATAATCCACTGCACCGAAGTTCAGCAGCACGTTCTGTGCCCTCCAGGCGTTGGGAATTGTGAAGGTGGTGCGAAACCAGGAGTAAACCGCCGAGGTCGCCTGGATCCCTACACGAGGCTTTGAATCAGTTTCATGCTTGACCACCGGACAGAAAAGACCTACCAGACAATCCGCTCTCGAGACAAGAAGGTATAAGCACTTCTGCCGTGAGGTTTTGACCGAAGGGGGGACTCTTGACAGCATCCAGGCTCGCCGCAGCCTGATATTGCCAGATCCCGTTGAGATTCTTCCACTCGGACCGCTGTCGCTGGGGGCGAGGATACTCCGGCCAGGGATTCGTGCCGACTTGTTCAGTCCAGTCCGTGGTCAATGGGGGCTGCTGGACCGCATACGGTGCTGTGCGGCGCGAGGCAAGGGAGCTGGTGTCTCCCAGACCGCGAGCCAGAGACTGGGAGGTCAGGAGGAGAATGAACCAGGTGCAAAGCCAAAGCATCATGATGAATTTGCAAGTGCATTCCTTCCACAGACGACGCTCACGCGGAGTATTTATCTCTTCATTTCGCATGTAGGGGTTCACCATCGAATAGCGGAACATTCACCTTGGAGCAGAAATTCATTTCCCTTGTCATCGGCCTCTAGCCCACGCATATCCGCGTGATGACCCTCATCCCCCGCTCCCACGATGGAGGTGAATGGTGAACTGGGATACAGCAGCCCCGATATTGAGCATCCACCGGCGATAATTGGGCACCCAGCGTTGTGGTGCACGACAGACTCAGGGAGAGGTGGAAGCTGAGCCAGCCGACCCGAATGGCTGAGGGAGAATCTCACCGGTCACCGACGTCGTTGACAGTGGCTTGCCGCTTGCCAGATTGGGGAAATTGAAGCTATACCCATTCACCGATGGTTGACCGGGTGCAAAATCCTCAAATTGACTATATCGACCTGGATGCTGACTCGGTGGGGTCAACCAATGAGCAGCACAGATCGAAATCTGGGCTGCTTGAACATATCCTCCACCCCCGATCGCTTCCATTCACTTTCTAAACTGGGCCGCGGTGAATCTGGCTTCACCCCTTTCTGGCTTCCCTGGCATTTGGCCACTGCTACCATTCTTCCCCGCACCTCCTGGTCTCTCCCCTTGCCTTAACTCCGAGTAAGTTCAGAATTGGTGTGATCAGCCAAGCCAGTACCTAGGATGATGAGCTTCACAGCGATAAAGTGAAACTAAGTAAGGAAATATATTCTGCATGATTGCATCAGCCAAGTCGGCCGATGAACACCACCCCCAGCTTGGTTGTAGCCCTGTTTCTCCGCCCGGCCAGGACACGGGGTTGATACAGCAGATGACTGTTGGTGAGGTGACTGACAGCTCATTGTTTCTCTGGGTCGTCAAAACCTGCTGTCCCTTGGCTGTCTGTTATTGGGGTAGGGTAGAGAGTCATCACGGGATGCGGATCAGACTTTCCGGAAGAGCCCTCGGACCTGCGAACGTACACAGCTAGAAAGTATTGATATGAATTGGACTCGCAGGACAGTCTCAGATCTCAATCTGGTCCAACGGTTACTAGAAACTGGTTGGAGTCTTAGTTTCATGTGTGATGTCTGGCTCCACATGTCCCCGAGATCATACTGTGTATGCTACAGGCTCCCCTACTGTACATCGGAATAAAATGTGAATCTTGCCACTAACAACGGCTGCATTGTAAGATAGGGAGCACAATAAATTTGTAGCCTTCTGTAGTCTGGATTGGAACAAGAGAACAACTTATCCCCAGATTCATACTTATCAGTATGATTAGTATAAGTGCAGCCGCCTCCCTAAGAGGAACGGATGCTATTAGTATTCATTCCACCGGCCTGACACTGCCCACTGCAATATACGACTTTCAGGCAATGGGCCTTATTATGGGCATTACTGCCGACCGAGATGGACAATCTGATTGGCGATAGCATAGCTTCAAATGGCAGAGGCTCATATCGTAGACGTTGTAATTCCAGTTTCGCCGTCGAGGCTGGGTTGTAATTTGTCTTCTTCTCGCTTCTATTTCCCGTCCTCTCTCCCCTGTACTTGTGCTGATAATGGTGATTAATGGCAGGGGCTCCAGTGCATCAAGTGCGTGTTGGGCTGTGAAAAGCACGTCGGGCGATTCGATGTTGATCTGTTTTACCTTTGTATCCCCGATATCGACAGATACATCTCCTTGACTCTTCAAACTGATGGGGCCGGCTAATTGTTTGCGAGCGTCTTCTTCAACCACAGCTGCTCCATCTTGCTCGACCCCAAGAGATGATAGTTTGCTTCCTGATTGTTGTTGGAGTGGTCGCGTTCTCCGCGGTGGTAGACGCTGCAGAACAGAGGGCAGAATGATGGAGGAGAAGACAGACCTCGTTGCTGGTATTGTTGCCTGAGTCCTGTCGACAGTTTCTTGGACCGCGGAAGCAGTCTTTACAGACTGAGACTTTGAAGCCCTGAGACACGCGGAGGACAGGCACGGTATCGAACTTATGATTATGTTCTGCTGTATCTTCCTCAAGAACAAAGGCAGTTGATATGATGGAAGGATGTCGTCTGCAATGCTTTTCGTCATCCAATTACCCACCGATTCTCGGCTCACCTCCAGCAGGAAACACCTCATGTTAGGCGATACAGCCTGAATCGTCAGATGTAAGACATACCGATGCTATTGCAGCGCCGGGTTCTGGTCAGAGGGCGACAAGTTAGCCGGGATTATGACCGACTCACTGCCCACAGTCGGACAGAGACACGTCCGCGAAGCGACTCCTACCACCTCTGCGGCCAGATTGTGTCTTTACATACTCGAGGCCAGGAGAGATTGCACTGGAGGAATGACAGGTGACGCATTATGTTTGTTCACTGCAGGACGAAGCGGCTATTATACTAAGCTGCCCATTCAATAGTCTCTGACCGAGACATTCACCAGCAGAACCCCTGCAGAGGCGTGTGCGCGATGATTGAATGGTGGCGGGAGGGCCGTATTCACCATCGGCCGAACCGGTTCGGTGATACCACGCAACCCTAAAAGCTCGCAATTACATCGACACGAATATAGTTATCGTACCTGATTCGACTGCGCACCATGATTTAGCAACTCCTGTTGGCCGCACTCACACGGCACAATTCCCCTCGGGGTTCCACCAGCCGACGGTGGCAAAACGTCAGTTCGTGCAAGCCAAGCCCGCTGTCGTGGCAGCTAATGCGAGATGAATGCAGAATTGCCCTGCGAAGTTCTGGGACAGTGGGAAAACAAGGCTCGGGGAGCCCAAATACTCTCATCCTGCCTCATTCAGTACAAGATGTTTGCTTTCGAATGTACGCACAAAATGAGTGGTCGGCTGTTATTACCCCCGGATCATCAGCCCCGAGGCTACGGGTTCGTCCGGCCCCAGCGATAGTCGCCACTGGTCTGCGACACCCCACGATCGCTTCATATTTCCATCTTACTAGTTGGATTATAGGTCGAGACCGTTGCGCAACTCCCTGACAAGCTTCGGCGGCAAAACCCGTGTGAACATGTCATTCACCCTGCGCAAACCATGGAAGAGGACATGTCAACCCCAGGGTAACTGGCGACGTCGCTAAGCCAAAACCTGCACTACAGAAACAACAACAGACACCACCACTGTGTGAGGTATCGCCGCAAGATACGCTACTACAGGCACCTCCCAAGAGATCGGGCTGAAGCGGACAAGTCTCCCTAATCTGCTTTCAGTCAGTCATCCCGAGCTCGTCTACCAGCAGGATATCTTAGCCGACGCTTGGGTCAGCATCTCAGCTGGTGCTGCCGGCAGGACCTCACCTTCACAGCTAGTTTCCTGCATCCTCAGCCACTAGTTCGTCTTTCAGCGCCGCCATCTCTTTAGACAGATTGCTGAAAATCGACCCGTGCTTTGCCCGCTCCGCCACCCCGATCGGTTACCCCGTGCAAGATTGGGTGGGATGTTTCCTCTGCGGAGGAATCGCGAGTATATGAATCATGACTCGTCCTCAAAGCCAGGAGCGCAGCTGAGTACTAACAGCATCAACATCGAGGCGGTAGTAGCAAACTTTGCCTCTCTCCCTCGGAATTGCACCCATCAAGCAGGATGACGCCCCAACCGCTGCGACCCATCTCATACCGCAATGACCCCCTGGGCACAGTCAGCGTTGTTCCACCGACACTCGCCGAGTATGACTTTCTGCTGACGGGCACCACGAATGACGATGGCGACAGGACACACTCCGTGACTGTCGACCCGGTCGCCCTGCATCTTCCCTGGAGAAGCTCCTTTCCGGCGGCGCGGCAGTGTAAATACTGGAGCGAAGCCGAGGATGCGGGCAGGAAGCTGCTGCAACAGCTCAAGCGGATGGACGGTGCGGCGATCACGAACAATGGCCACACAAATCAAGCAGAGATGCCACTATCCAGAAAAGAACAGGAGCGGATTGTGAATGCGGCGAGTGCAGCCGGGTATATGAACCCGAACTGCACAGCCGAAGCGATTGAGATCATCGCGCAGCTCAACCTCATCCTCTGGATCCACGATGGTATGACTTGACTTCCTACTAATGGGGTACGCTGCATGGGCTGGGGGTGCTAACCCGGGATTTTGGTACTGTAGATATCCTCGAATCGTCCGACTCACCGCACGAGGTTGTAAACGTCCAGTGGCCTTGTGAGTGGTGACAGTGCTAACTCGTGCTCAGAGTGCCACAGTCGTCGAAAAAGTGACAGCCAGCTGGGCCGACATTCTGGCTTCTCCCGACAAATCCGCCCCGGACGCTGCAGATGCTTTCGCCAGCCTCGCCCGGCAAATCCTGAACAGCAATGGACAGGGGAAGGGGCTGATTCAGGGATATCTCAAATGGATGGCGTTCATGCGCTCCCCAATGCGAGACCAGTTCTCCTCATTGAGAGACTATCTGGACTACCGGGCGGTGGATATCGGACGCGAGTAAGTCGCCTGCATCTGCTTTCTGCATCCATCGCAAGGACTGACCCAAGCACTCCAGCTATATCTTGGCTGCCGTGAAATTCGGCAACCGGATCTGCATCTCCTCGGCCGACGAAACGGCTCTCAGCCCAGTGATCCAGCTGGCCATGGACCATATCATCTTGACAAATGACCTCTTCTCCTACGACAAGGAAAGCCGCGAAGCCGAGACCTGCGCCAATGCGGTCCGATATCTGGAGCAAGTCCTCGCCGTGGATGCGGGCGCAGCCAAGATCCTCATCACCAGTCTTCTCCGTCAGACAGAGACTCGCATGCATGCCGAACTAGCAAGTCGGCGCGGTTCGAACGCACTGAGCCCGTCACAGCTGCGGTATGCACGGGGGGTGATCGAGGCCGCAGCAGGGAATGTGGCTTTCTCGATTACCACGCGGAGATACAGCGCCATTGGTGCAGGTCAGACATGCGAGAAGAAATGCTGTTCGTAGATACTACTAGATCTTTAAACCGATTCCGAGCGAGCAATGTCTTTTCTAGTTACACAATTATCAAACGAACTTTTGTTTGTCCACTAGGAGGAGAACAACCAGTGGCAGCGGGCGAACCCGCAACAACCCTAAAAATAGCTTCATGGTATACCAGACTAGGGGGTACTTGATCACCTCTCAAGCTCCTCCCAACGAGTGATGTTAGTACAATAGAAAGAACGTAACCTTTGTTGGCTGAGCTTTGTAGCTTCGACATTACCAAGTTAGTGGTGAGACAAAGGCAGCGAGAATGGTTTGAGTGGAGTGCCTTATTGAATGCCATTGTGTTCGTCGTATAGGCCTGCAATCATCCTAACCATGGCTTTTTCCCAGTGGTCTACCACCACCACTGGGAAAGAACCCGACTACTTCGGCTTCATTGGTTCTCAGAGCGTGACGCTGGAGTAAAGGATTGTCTCTATTTCCAGTATGAACGGCTCAAGAGACAGATATGATGTATTGAGTGAAGCACATCGTCCGGCTGACTCCATTCACCACTCTGGTTCCCAAAGACCAGAGAATATATTCTATGACTAGAAGGTTTTCACCATTAGCCGTGAATGACTGGAAACTCATTCATTCATTCATTGTTGGTCGCCCATCAGCCCAGACACCCAGTAGCAAATAATGCAGGGCGAATCCCAACCGCTCGGAAATGCTTTGAAAGTGAACACACGATACAATTGGCTTGAAACCCCCCACATCACCCTTCTTGAAAGACTACCCCCGAGCGAAAGACTCTACCATGGTCTCGCGCCATGCGACGAGCTTGAAGCAGGTTGACGGTCGGGCCCTTCCCGGTTCATTTGGGCATGAATTCGACGATCTGGCAGCAGTGTCCCATGCTCGATCATTGGTCGACTACGATGGGATCTACTTCGGTCTGGCTTTCCTGTGTGGACCGGCTTTGTATCAGCCGATGGACTCGTCCGACGCCGGGGATGGGCTCCCTGAGGAGAAGAGCACTGGCAACGTCGGGGCGGGACCCTGGGCCTTTAACCCGATAGCCAGATTACCAGAGTCTTTTCCTGATTGATGATCGGCCTCGATCTACTTATTTCAAGACTTCGGAGTCCATACCGAGGCGCAATTCCCAAGCCTTTGAAAGCTAAGTGTCCAACCAAAAAATACTTTCTTCGTCTCGTCACCGTGATTAGATTGTCCCTTTGTGCACTTGTGATTGTCTCATTGAGAATGTAGGTTTCCCATTTTTGCTCGAGTGTTGACGTAGAATGATAGGAAGATGAGCTCGACCACTGCGACAAAATATACCAATTTTTCGAAACCCTATCTGCTCCACTAACTCAGTAATCAAGAAGTATTAAGAACTACCAGTCTTACCAACTGAGCATCACAATTGCGCCTACAAAGCTCACTTGGCTGTGCTTCGGTTTTCGCAAGCTCTACCGCGTTAACTGAAACAATGCCTGCCACATTCGCCCGCAGCCATACCGCACTGGCTTCAATTAGAGCTTCATTTCATTTATGCAAGATATCTCAATTTGAATATATACACAACACAGACTCTGCAGGGTCAAGCCCCATCCTTCATTCCAGAACATTTGTACCCCCTCCAACTAACGAATGCCGCATAGTACAGTACTTTCCTAAACACAGGCTCCCAAAACACAGCGGCCGCCCACTCTTCATCCTCCCCAGTCTTCGTATATACTGCGGTCTTGAGTGCTCGAGGACGGGAACTCGTCCGGTTTCACATCCGCCGGAGGACAGCCCTGCCCGTACGGCAGGGGACTCAATTCCACGGTGAAGTCCTCTTGCGCCGCCAAGAACTGTGGACGGGCTTTGGAAGGCATCTGATCGGCGCTGGTTTCTGCTAGATGCGAGTCCTCCCCGGCGGCTGTGGATGCAGGCTCAGAGACTTGCGGGGGGTGGGAGGTCTCGTAGAGGTTATCGTAGTCCGACTCGTAGATGAAAGGGTTGGTTGACATGGTGGGCTAGATTTTAGTTCAGTTTCAGAGGAGAGGTGGAGAGTCTAGTATAGTGGTTTTCATTTGTGTGCTGTGCTCGGGTGGAGCATGGGGGGGGGGAGGCAGACGTGGTCGAAGTGTGGATGTCATGCTTACTTATAATTCCGGGGGTTGATGGTGGCGATGACCGACGGGGGTTTTGCGTCACGACAGCCAGCCTCATTGAAATTGTCGCATGCTTTTTTTGCATATACCCCGCGTTGACAAAGCCTGGGTCTGCTGCTACCTAGGATATGATGGTAGGAATTATTGTAGTGGCAGGGATTTAACAGGTCAGAGTTATTTGTTCGACAGGCAGTTTTCCACTACTTAACATGGGTTCCCTCCCGCCAATCAGAAGGAGGGCCCCCCCGGTGAAATAGTAGAGCTACTAGTACATCCTTCTTCCACGGGTCAGCATCCAGCGATTTACCTCTGGAATTCCGGGGTCATGTGCTGCTGCACTTCTTCACAAACAGATACGCCATCCGTCCCAGCTGAAGCAGCCCCACATCACATCTCGCCACTCCCCCTAACCCCTCCAACCCTAAATCTCCCTCTTGCCCGAATCGCCGCTTGTCTCTCCAGAATAGTAGGTGCCAATTGGTGTATGCCGCAAAGACCGGGGTCGTAAGCGCAGAAGACTCCGGGACGTCAAATGCACCGGGCACAAGCCAACTATCGTCGCTGCTGTGGGCATATACAAGACTCTTGTCACAAGCAAGACCGCGTCTCGTTGCAAGTGCCTCTGAACATTCGTCGGTTGTGTCAAACTGAACAAATTGTCGAAGAGGATCCAGGGATTGATCGTGGGTGGCGTCGTGCTATGCATCCAGCGGCGAATATATACAAGAAGTGCGAGGGTTTCTCTGTTCGCGAATAAAGCTCAGCGGGAGCTCACGGAGAACTAAAGATGCATGAATTGCAGTCTTGGTTATGGTGAGGCTGACAGACCACTGGTGGCGACCGGAATCGCGTGACGATCAAGGGTGTTTATCATAAGCATTGAGGGGTGAACAGCGTCAGAGGGAGATTATTGGTTCCGTGGCCCACATCTTCGGAATTCTAGAACATCCTCGACACAGCTTTATCGAATCGAGTAACCTAATTTTTGTAGGAGTGCGGTTTCTGGTAGGAACTGAGTTGTCTATCATGATGAGAGCTTAATTTGAGCAACTGTGAGTTACCACCGGAAAAGCTCGGCTCGTGCACTCCCCAGAGAAACCATAGCCGAGCGACTAAAATAGACAAGCGCACGAGGCTCCTCCGCGTCGAAGATAGGTAGGAAGTCCGATAGTCGCGCCACGGTAGGCACATCTGCACAACTCGTCACATCCTCGAGACCCTCTTCCTCGATCTCAATCCACTTCTCAGCTATTGCTGCCACGACGGCACTATTCCAGATGCCTTCTTGGACCGCCGAAGCGCGAAGTACACCAACAGCACGGCGGCGGATGTGCGGGTCGCGGCACCGCACGGCGACGTTGAACATCGCGGCGATGATGCCAAGATCGAGCGAAAAGGTTTTGGGTGGCGATACCGAACACGAACAATTTCGGCCGGGGGAAGCCGAAGAGGGAAGTGGAACAATAGACTCCGCTAGAGTCGCCATCTCTGCAAAGAAGGAACAGTACCGGTCCCACTGGACATGGTCGCCAGCTTCAGCCTGGCCCGCGGGCTGGAAGATGTCTAATGAAATCAAGTAATCGAGCTTGCGGAGTTGAAGAATGGCGACGGCGCGACGCTCTCGTTCCGTCAGAGGGGCACCACGGGCACGCAGAAATCGGTCCAGCGCGATAGACCACTGTGCCAGAAGAGACATGGAGGTATCCCTTAGGTTCACAGCTGCGGAATTGATGCTGGGGGTCGGTCCTGTGTGTTCCTGCACGGATGGCAACTCAGCGGGCGCGTTTTCGCTCCGCAGCTCAGTGCTGCGCTGCCTGTAATAATACGTGTATATCTCCAGCGTTTCACGGGCGTCGGCCAACGAGTGGAATACCATCGGCCTGTTTGGGTCGATAACAAGCTCTGGCCAGAGGTTGCAACGCGCTACGCTTCGGCGATGGACGGTCTGTCGAGCGAACTGATCAGATATGGAGCCCGCATCCTAGCTCAAGGAAGGAATTGGTACCACAGTAATTTGCGCCTGCAAACGAGTAAAAAGACCACATACGATCTCGAGCGGCACATATGGCGTACGACCTACACTGAGAGTCACAGAGGTACCCATGGTGCTGGTTCGGAGCTCGTCGAGTATCTTCAGTCCGCTGGTGATGTGTGTGATGGCCGAGCCGGACTGGCCACGCATAGCCTTGAGCCCAGCTAGTACGCACAATCTGATGATAAGCAATGGAATAGCTCAGACGCACCTCAAAGCAAGCAAACAGGATACATGCTATTAAGCAGACGTCCAGGGGCTGCGATCCGCTGGTTGACGATGTCAGACAGCGCACGGCGCGCAGATATTGGCGCAGTGCAAAGGAGTCCTGCACGGCCTGAGAGCCAGAGCTAGTCGGGTTACCCGCATTACGCTCGAAACACTCATGCAGTGATCCCAAAGCCACTGTGACATGACGAATGGCTGGCTCATGATGAACAGACTGCAGTAACAGGCGTTCCCAGAAAGCGCACTCGAAATCGCCGGCGAGCTGCGGTGCGGTCTTCGCTATGAAGAACTGAAAAGAGCGGCGCTCCTCCTCGCCGCCAAAAAGATCCAAGGAAGGAGTACTGAAGGAACGAGGAATGAGCCGTCTTGCATGTGAGCTCAATCGTGTTGCTGTCAAGCTGGAAGATTGTGCTGGAGCGGGATTCTCATAGCCATCACACACGCGGCTCGTTGAGGTGCACTGGGAACAGGCGGGGCGCTCTTCACTGCACTTGATACGTCGCTCTTGGAAGTCCCATCAGGCAAGGTTGCTGTATAAATGGAGAATGCCACGGTCACTCACTCCTGAATCGGGTCAGCAGGGATTACGGCGGACTGCGGAACGGACATACTTGCAGGTCAAGCAGCCGGTGCGCGTCTTGGGCCGATACGCCCGCTTGCGTTCTTGCGGTGCAACCCGGGCCATGAATGGGCGAAGTGTGTCTGAGCAACAAGCCGTGCTTAGAGGTCTACCAGATGCATGTGGGGTTCAGAGTCAAGGTTGAAGTTCAAGTCACTGGGGATGAAGCCATTTGAAGTCACATGGCCAACTTGCCCCTTTTGAGCTTAGTCGACCGCGTCAGCCGGAAAGGGTATTTATAGATCAATACTCAATACCCAAGTTATCACAAGATTTATACTATAAAAAAGCTATCATAATCGCGATCCAAACACCTATCTCTAAATCTATTGAATGATCCCCCAGAGATCCTGTAACTGAGACAAAGAATCAAACTGCTATACTATGCGCTATCTTGTTCCCGCAGCATCTGCCCATGGTCATCAGCAATTTGAGGACAGTTAAATATCGATCAATTCACAGGATGTCATACCGTGTCGTTCCATCCGGCAATCTCCGCCTTGCTGTACACGCCCATCTTCTTCCGCTGTTTTCGACTGGGCATATCGCTATCCTTCCCTGGCATCATACGGCCAGGGTGCACCACATTGAGCAGCACCAGTGCGACCAACATGGGCACGGAGTCAAGGCAGTATTGATACGCCTCATGGGAGGGGATCTTGCTGTTGAGCCCCTGCGCGTACTCGCATAGACGAAAAATGATACGCATCTTGCACCTGTCAGTCCAGTTTCATCGTACTACTTGAAAAGCAAGGCACTTACCGTGATCAGCGCAAGACATGCGTAGAGCACATAGAGCAGCAGCAAAGCCTGGTTCGTGTCCGGTCGCCGCTGCTGGAGAATCTTGCGGTGGAAGAAAATCGCACAGACAATGAAGACCAGGACGAAAAGCTGCTGCACGCCCACGCCGGCCATGTAGGTGTGCAGGCCGGCCATTTCCGTGTCGGTCGAGACGTTATTGCCCGCCGCTTGCGCTGCGCCGTAAACCTGGATAATGAATGCACTAGGGAGTTGTCAGGGTGGAGGTCTGCGACACGCGATTATTGAAGGATGCATACATAATGTCCAAAACGACGAAGAACCAGCCAATATGCCACGGCCGCACGCACAAGACGCGCGCATCGTTGGTGAAGTTCCACACCATCCGGCCCATGACCATGTACACAAATGCGTTGGTCCACAGGGGCGCCACGAGGATCAGCACGAACCAGGCCGCATAATCAGTGTAACTGTCCGGGTTGATGATGCTGAGCACGCGGAAGATGTAGGTCAAGGTCTGGATGAGCCCGGACATGACGATCACCCAGCAATAGAACTTGCGATACAGGATAGCTTGTGCGGTGTGGGCGAGAGTCGTCAGGGCAAAGAGTACGGTAAACAGGTACGCTGCGCCGATCGAGGGACACAAGTTCCACATCGTCGTCTCGGGATGTGCCAGTGCTAATCTTGCCATTAGCGTGTGCTTGCTTCAGTTGGTGTTTACCCATCGTGACATACCTTTGCATTGTGTCATGATGGCGGTGATTTTTCGAGAGGCTCTTTGAGTGTGTGAAAGTACGGAGTCATCCACGTCGAGCTGGGATGAGCCATGGCTGCTTTATGTATCAATCGTGGTTTCATCCTTTGTTCGCTGCCTAGTTGACAGGATCGAGATCATCGTGAAGCTGTTCCATCGCGCAAGGCTGCGTCTACGAAAATCAGCCTGATTGGCCCCTTCGTATGGACGCACCAATCACCGCACGCATGTTGGGCCCCACTTCATTCTGGAGTCCAACACAGGATTCAATACTGGCAACTCGCAAGAATTGTGAGTTTCACATTGGAAAATTCGAGTCCGACTGATCTTATCTTCGCAATGTTGGAAATCTTGGCAAGACTCCGCCTACAATAACCCGTGGGTTGCGTGGACTTTTGTTCTGAACACAAGTGGCCCTTCTCGACCATGGTCATTGGCTGTAGCACAAGGTCAGATTCAGTCCATAAGTACTAAGTGTTCCTACCACTAACTAGTAAGTATTAACTGTATTTGTCAATGCCTGTCTCCCAAGAGAACAAGTGAAACAAATGCCATCTGATCCCACAGCTATCGCAGGTTGTGAAACAAGGTCGAAAACATCGGTGCGAACCTCATAGGGTCCAGATATTGCTTGGCAGATCATGCAAATCTGACCCGTCTGTAGCCAGGAATTCCGCTGGTGCCATTGCTCTTTCTCACTCAAGATTTGAGCAAGCTCGAGCTTTGGAGCACCCGGGTCTGGGTGATTGGACCCCCTTCTTGGTGTGCATCTTCACCAGCGCCATGGGCCGGGATTGTGGATTTCCGATCACCTGCGAGACGGTATGCATGGGCAATATTCAGATCGGTGCATAGAGCATCTATGTGGTCACGACCCAGGGTGCAAACGGCGATTCGAATGTGGGGTTGAGTAGTGCAAGATAATTCCGATAGCTTGGGTGTTGATATAGTTAAGTACAATAAAACAGTTGCAGTGGGAGGCAGCCCCAGGCTCCGTAGAGTGGTGCCTAGCGTTATTTACGTTGATAGTCGAGGATTGTGTCCTTTTCTACTTACCACAGGGCCAACCTTTCGCCCTCCTCATCTCCGAGTTTTGTCCTCGGAAAGATTCCGTGCGCGATACTTCAGTCTTCCAATAAACAGCCAACGACCACTACAGTACGGAGTGGTCAGGGGAGATATCGAGTCAGGCCCTCTCATCCAACGATACATCTCAAAAGAAAAAGTGGAGAGCCCTGGTGTGGCGAGTTGACCTGTTCTACCCTGAAGTATCCTCCCTCACAAGAGATTCCTAGTGTATGATTCCGTTTATTCCTAAGGCCCGAGTCGCAGACCCCGGCCGCAAAGGGGACCTTCGCCCACGCGATCATCGAATCGGCACCATCTTCGCGTGGAATGCGCGCGGACTTTTCTTTCCCCAAGAACTGGAGGAGTAAGGTGAATATCACTCAGTCAATGAGGAATGGCTTCTGTATGATACAGCTAATCCTCACTATCCACACCAAGTCAACCCCTCGCACCCAGCATCCTCGCAACATCACCTCCAACTACACACACCCACACATCAACCTACATCTTCTCCATCCTCCCCCCTCCCAAACCATCCACAGCCCTGATCAACGCATACACCGTCTCCAACACCGGGATCTCCACCCCGACCCTCCTCGCCCCTTTCACCACCGTCCCGATAATCACCTCCACCTCCATCCTCCGCCCCATCTCTCGATCCGTCTGCATACTCGTCCTCACCGGCCCCAGACCCTGCATTTTCGTAATCTGCTCATCCACCAACTCCCCGCGTAACTCCACCCCCTCCGCACGTGCCACCGCCACGACCTCATGCATCAGCCGCTTCGTCAACGGCAGCGCATCCTCCGAAGACAGCAGCCAGGCCTGACAATCCAGCCCCGTCAAGGTGGTGAGAGTGTTCCAGGCGCAGTTCCACATGAGTTTCTCCCAGCGGGTGCGTTGCAGATCCTCCGGGGAGAGCGGGGTGACCGGGGTAGGGTGGGGGTTATCGGACCCATTGAGCAACCCTATAAAAGCCTCCAGGAGGGTTTGTGCCCGAGGGGTGAGCGGCTGGAAGAGGCCGAGTTGGGTGGCTTCGGAGGTGGTGTGGGTGACGGTGCCGGGGGTGGGTTGGTTGGCGCCGACCCAGGTCTGTGTCCCAAGGATAAGCATTCATTTAGCAGGGAAGAGAGGGAAGGGGAGGGGTTCTGTGTCCAGGGTTCAAGGTGCATGCATGCATGCATCATACCACGCAGGAAAGAATCTCATTGCCCGAATCATACAATCTCCGAAACGGCGCCTCATTCCCCACCCCATTCTGGATGATGACAATGGTGGTCTTCGCCGCTGTGATGGCTGGGGCGAGCGAGCGGGCGACGCTGTCGATATCGATGGCTTTATTCGTGCAGACGACGTAATCGAATACCGGGGAGGCACCGGGGCTGATGAGGAGGTCGGAGAGCGAGCTGATCACTGCAACAACAACCCCGTTTTAGTTAGTATCGTCTTTGCCTCGGGGCAGGAAAGGGCAGGGTCGACACGTACGTACCGTGGTCTGGGTGGAAGCGGTGTTCGCCGTGATTTGCGCTTTTCAGGAGTATGCCCTGCTCACCATATGAGTACACTACATATGATTCTCCCTGTCCCGGGTAAGGGGGACGTACATGCTCTTTCACAGCCGCATAATTGGAGCGTGCCACGACCGTCAAACGCACGCGTGGGCTGTTGCGGAGGATGAAGGCGTAGAAGGAGCCGATGCTGGGTGGGTTATGTGGGGTGGCTCCGGCGTAGATGAGGGAGAGACTTACGCGCCCAGTCCGAAGAGGAGGACTTCGATCTTGTTCTCGGACATTTGAATTGATGTTGTGCCCCTCAGGATTACATGGATGTTGGCGGGGGGGGGTGAAGGAACGTGGGGGGAGGGGGTTCTTATACCTGGTATCGATCGTGCGGGGGTCGGGTTGATTTCCGCCGGGATTCTGTCCGAGGGAGCGTGGGGGACAATCACTTCTGAAGAAGTAGACTCTCAATGATTGGGGTAATCATTGGAAGCCACTTCACGAAGGTTATAGAGCTGTACAGAGCACTGAACATTGTGGTCTAGGAGGAATACTGAAACCAGCATCTAGCTGATATAGCAGCTTCAGCTGCAACCTGCCAGCCCTCCTGCACCACTCTACATACCCACCCCAATAACATCAAACGTCCATTCATCTATTGTACCGTAAACATTATCTATAACCCACCCCCAATTTCCTCCAAACCACAGCTATAACCTCCTGCGAGATCACCTACCGCATCACATTCCGCACTCCCGTCTCCATCCACAGCTTCGTATACTGCTTGTGCAACCAGAACACATACCCAGGCATAGGCGGCGCCCCCGTCCCGTCCACCTGCTTCGACCCCTGGAAGAACACACTTTTCAGCCCAAACTCCGCCACCCCATCCTCGGGCTTCACCACCGCACTCAACTCAAACAACCCGTCCGAATCCCTGACGCCTTGTTTTCGGGGTGAGTCGCCACAGCGCACGACAATCCGCTCGGGGGTCTTCTCGACGACCTCAAAGTGATCGGTGATGCGGGTGCCGACCTCGTAGGTGCTGGTGCGCAGATCGGCGCGCGTCCAGAGGTCGGTGGCCGTGCTGCTGTTTTCGTACTTTTTCGAGAAGTAGCGGCGTTGGTAGGCGTATCCTTCACCCATCAAGGACAAAGTATTAGCTTGCGACATCATAACGAGTATACAAGTTGTGCTAGCTGCTACCGGCTAGCTGCTCGACGCCCCAGGACGCTAAGCGCGTGCGGCAGCTGCGCCGACTGCAGGTCAGGGTCAAAACCTACCCCATCCACTGTATACCCCCGCGCAGAACGCCTCCGTCAATTTTCCCTTCTTCTCTAGTAACGATGGGTTGATCTCCGATAGCGGCACGCGCCGGATGCACAGGTCGTGGCTGGTGGGGTTGTTGTGCGGGTTCAGCGACTGATAGCCCGGGGTGTGGAAGATGGGGTCGGAGAGCGGCAGCGGCACGAAGACGGAATTGCGGGTGGCGAAGAAGAAGGCGCCGAGGGAGGCGGTGCCGCCAATGGTGGTGAGTTTGAGGGCACGACGGAAGAGGCCCATTGCGATGTTTTTTTTGGGGGGGGGGGGGGGGGAAGATGCAATGGAAGAAGATGGTGGAGGGGAGATACTTGTGATGCTGGGGATGGACGGGAGGTGATGACGGAGTGAATGGGCGGGAGGTGAGATCATCGCTTCGGATCGGAACAACTCCGGGTGGTTGGCTTTTATCCTACTTATTTTGCTTAATTAAAGATACACTACGGTCGAATACAAACCACCCCATAAGCTCTCCATAGCAATTTTGCAGGAAAGTCTCCGGCCAATAGGTTTTGAGTATAAAATCGTAGAACGGGATACTCTTCTAACTGAAAAACCATAGTATTGATATTTAATAAATAGTCTAGTAGATATACAGCTCTGGATGCTCTATAATGATCCAACTATTCTCTATTACACCTGGATAGCCCTAGTATATATGGATGATCTGGAACTTCTATAACTTGAATTGAGAGGACTCTATATCTGTATTTAATAAGTTTTTGTACTTCTCTTTGTAATTAGGCCCGGCGGAATACTGCCAAAGATGAGCTATTGAAATGGTATACGAGTTTCAATAGCAAGTGTTTCTAGATTCCATCGATAGTATTACTATAGAATCTAAATATAGACTATACTACCTCCAAATATTAAAGCCCTGAGTAAACTATATTTAAGTATCTATCTTCCTCGTCTTCTATAGGATCTTCTATCACCAAAGGTCGTCGAGTGCTTACACAAGCAGGCTCTGGCTACATACTAGTATCTAATTAGCATCTCTAAGATTATTCCCCTGATGTTGAGATAGACTGTGCTGTATCTATTAAATAAAAGCTGGGATTTAGTCAGATCACACCGTCTTCTACAATTAAATATACTGTACTTCGATCGGGTTCCCAGGGGAATCACAGCAGACAATCTTATATACATATTGCTCGATACTGCATGCAACAGTGCCTTGTTGGGTTATAGCAGGGTGGTATGCTAGACCCCGACTGTCCAAATAGAGAGCTGCATATGCATAGTGAGAGTAGGAACCACTACCCAATCACTGCAGCTGACCTTGTGACGAAACTCAAGGCGTAACTTAATCAGAATCTAGATTATAATTGCACTCCAATCGGCTCTTGTGGTCATACGGGATACTATTCAGGATCACTTGTGCTACTTTCGGATATACGGTTGTTGGGAAAGGGACGACTTCGCGGCTCTTGGGGGAGGTGTCGCGCGAAGCAGAGGTATTTCTCGGTGCTGTCGATTTGGCCCACATCTACTTTCTTCACGGCGCGGGACAAATCCGTCATATACTACTGATGGGCTGGGGTGGTATAAGCATGAGCCATATAACTCTCGACAGGACCATCCAGCGTGTGATTTCTCAGTCAGTGAAGGAGATCCATGCTTTAGGTATTTATCATCAGGATCTTCGTCTGGAAAACAATTCATAGAATACTGATCTCAAACAAGTCTTAATTATTGATTTCCATCGAAGCATATTAGAGCACTTCCATCGAAGCACAAGCAACCCGTCCTTAAACAATTACAATGTGGTCCTAAAGAACATGAATCGAAGAAGTATCGTGTGGTGTAGGAAATTAAGGCTGCTGGAGATGGGACCTTGTACTAAAGCAATACAGGAACTCAACAGGCACTACAGATACCCTGTACAAAAGCAATTAAACGAGCCGCCATCGCTGTGCACTAAATGTTTTTTTCTAGGCTAATGTCTTATGACCATTTATTACCCAGCAAGCGTGACCTCCACCGTTAAGACGATACGAGGTTGATGTTCTTAACTACTTCATATATGTGGAAACCATTCCCTGTTCGCCTTTATGCGGTGGGTTTGCCAGCGAATATCCTATCTTGACCGGTGTATGTGGTAGCCATGCTTTGACATGGTTTTATCCCCGGCTTTGGATAATAAGAGACCTGCATTGGTCAACAGATTTGTGTCGGTGTGCTAAACATCTACAAGCTGCTCTTAGGATAGATGCCATTGGGCATTGGAATTGAAAGACTTAGTCTGTCGTGCATCGGCGTCATTTTATGGATTCGCCCGTTATGTATACAAACGTTATGGCATAGAGTCAGTCACCAAGTTAAGGAGCCTAAGCGGTCGTCCGATAAATCAATTCCACAATGGCTGTTTGGCTATCTGTAGGCAGCGTAGTATGACAGCATCTATCATTGTCAATGTGAAAAGCCCACGAAAATGGGAATATATAATATACCACGCACGGGCGTGTTAATCCCGTCGACACCCAGACTTACTCCGTAGTGAGCAAGGTACTCGTGGTCTCATCACTCGATGGATCATGCAAGATTGATCCGGCTTGGTGGTTGATGGCTGGCTAGCATCGATTTCATCATCTCCGTCCAGAGCATTAGCGTGATTATCGAACCATACTCTGCTATCTGAGTAAAACTCCTCGCAAGCACTGGGTATTTTGTATAACTCTATAATAACATTGTGTATATGGTCTTCAACAGCAAGTTGCTTATAGATCTCAAGATCCTGTTTACTACTAATGGACTGATATATAAATCATCGACCATAGTCTTCTAATGTAACTAGCAGAATAAATCACTGTTGTATATTCTTATATATCAGTTAAAGATAGTAGTAAATAGACTTATAGATTTTCTACTGTTTAGATTTATAGTTAGTCTACAGGAGAAGTCGTAGAGAATAGTATTCTCTGGTTAGAGAAGAGATTTTACCTGTTGCAGAGTAAGACGGTGTTTGTACTTGTAGAGGCCTCCATAGAAGATCATGGCAATATCGGATGTACTCTGGAAAAGTTATTGGTTGGTTGTGCTCTCTCTCTTGCTACTTCCGTTCCTCTGCTTGCTTTCTCAGCTCGGCTTCCTGCCTTTGGCGTTCCTCCGCGAGCTTTCTTCCCTCCTCTGCCTTGGGAAAATTGAAAGCAGCAAGAGTGTATACACTGATTATGAAATAGCATGTTTGATGTAGGTTCGAGCTCTACATATAAAGCTGTCTTGTCCTGCTTTTTCAGATTTCGTAATTAAACTCTGTGGGTATAATTGCTCCTATGGCTGCGTCCTCAGGTTCACGCAAGAGTCAATTCAATAGCATTGCACTTATAGATTCGATAAGCAACGACTATCAATCACCGTCGATGGGAAACAGGAGAATAATCACATTAGTTAATCTTGGCTTTTATTTATTTACTTGGACTGTACCTTGTCTAAGTTACCTGTCCGGCAATTACACTACAAGGCTCGTCTATCAATTGGAAGGTAAAAGAGTCTTTTCTTTTGACCTGAACAATCCTCAAAGTGTAGCATTCTATGCTATAGGGTACTGCCTCCCTTTTGCCGAGGTTAGGTTGTTCCTCTATAATAGCTGGGATAGATTAATCAAACAAAGAATCATCTGCTATACCTCTTTTTTTTTAGAGTCTATGATTTCAACTAACCTCACCTATCACCCAACTGAATATTCACTCGAAGACAAGTGGAAGATCATAAATCATTCAACCACCATGGTATCTACCCATTTTATACCCACAAAACACAAATAACCACCCAGACAAGAAGTACACGCACACAAACCAGATACTAAAACATTCAACAACACACCCCCACCTAAGATCGAGGCCACCTCTCCAACCAATCCCTCACATACCGGCCCAGAATCCCATCCTCGACGATCCTCAACCGGCCATTGCGCAAGGTCACACTATCCCTCTCCGCGCGCTCCGTACAGAAGCTGGGCTCCTTTCTCCCCTCCCCGCTATACATTGCCTCGTAATGGCCCACGAGCTTCACCGCAGGATTCACCCGCTCCTCGCCGCGGGCCTCACTCTCCCGCAAACGGTCCAACCACTCCGCAAACCCCACCACCTGGAACTCCATCCCCAACGCCCCCAAACTCCGCAGCAGCTCCCCCCACGCAAACGGATACGGATTCGTCAGATTATACACCGAGTCATCATCCTTTTCCTCCGCCGCCGACCAATCCTCCGAAGTCGTACTGAGGACCGACCCCCGTCGCGACGTCGGCGGGGTATGCGAGCACGTCCGCGCAATCTCCAACATGGCCGCCACCAACTTATCCACCGGTAGCCAGGCGCACTGCACCCCGTGCAAGTCCGGGAGGACGCCCAGCGTCAACGCGGAGCGGATCATCAGCGGCAGCGCCTCGGTGTCGTTCCAGCCCCCGCGCTTCGAGTGGCCCGACACCTGGCCGATGCGCAGGGAGAACGCGCGGGCGCCGGCGGTGCGTCGGGCGGCGCTGACCAGGTGCTCGCCGATGAGCTTCGAGCGCCCGTAGCCCATGGCCAGCGCCGCGTGCCAATCCTGCATCGGGGCGTCGGGGACGGTGCGCTGCGGCGACGCCAGGGCGGTGGAGATGGAGCTGCAGTACAGCAGCACGGCGGGGGAGGGGAGGAAGACGCTGAGGGAGAACTGCAGGAGGTTGGCCAGTCCGTGGAGGTGGGGTTCGAAGGCGCTCAGCGGGAGGTTGAAGTTGACCGGCCACGCGGTGTGGATGATCAGGGAGACCGACTGGCGCAGTTCGGTGTAGGTGGATGGGGAGAGGCCGAGGTGGGGTTGGTCCAGGGCACTGGTGAGAGCGATGATCTTGTGGGTGCGCGCCGGGGGGATGAAGAGGTTCTTGCGATGCAGGGACGAGAGGATTGCCTCCTGCGCGTTGGCACGGCGCGTGAGGCAGTAGATGCGCGCGACGGTGTCGTCGTGGACGAGTTTGTAGAGCGTGTGGGCGCCGATGGAGCCGGTGGGGCCCGTCAGGAGCTGCGGTCTGCGTTAGGGAGATGCGGTCAAACGATAGTCAGGGTCAAGGATGACTTACAACACTGCGGGTGTTGGCCACCTGGTCCGGACAAGGAGTGTGGACGGGGAAGGAGGCCGAATATTTCTCCAGCAGCCCCGACATCTGCGCCAGCTCGTCTTCCTCCGACACTACCACCCCCCCACTCGCCGCAGACTGGCCGATCTGCGCCGCGTGGATACACTCCGCCAGCCGGGCGATGCTGCCAGCCTCGAACACCAGATTGTGGCCGATGCTCTTGGGGTCGGCCAGCGCAAAGTCCCGCAAGATCCACCGGCGCAGCTGGATTGCCTGGAGACTATCCATGCCCTGCGCGAAGAAGTCCGTGTCCAGGTCGATCTCCGCGAGGGCCAGCTCCTCGCGACACAGTTGCAGGAGATGCTCCTCGGTGGCCTGCAGATCGAGCCGCAAGGTCCCGCTCGCAGCCTGCTCCATGCGGGTGTACATGCCCTCAATCACCTCCGCGTAGCGCGCATAGACCTGCGCGCGGATCATCGAGCCCTTGTCCGTCCGGGGCACGAGGCGATCGGCCGCCAGCACGACGACCATGTCGCGGGAGATCTGCGAGAACTGCTCCGCGTGCGCGTTAGCCTCCTGCACACTGGGCCAGATGAGGTCCCGGAACTCCTCGTCCGAGTAGCGATGCGCGCCGCCAGCCCGAAAGACGAGCAAGCCCGGCACCGCCCTGCCCACCCCCACCACCACCGCCTCGTCCACCAGTCGGTGCTGCTTGATGCGGCCCTCGATGGGCAGGGGGAGCACTTTCTCTCCGTTGACCAGCGTGATGCGGTCGTCGATGCGCGAGACGTACTTCCATCGATCAGGGATCGTGGGATGCGGGGTGAAGACGTCGCGCGAGTGGTAGGAGCCCGGCGGGTTGTCCGAGTTGGACGCGGTCAGGGCCGGGTGGCCCTGCAAATAGACCACCTCGTAGAGCTCGTCGCCGATGGGCTTCATCCAGATGAAGGGGCGGATGTTGTCGAAGAACCGCATGTAGTTCCAGTAGGGATCGTTGGCGGGGCGGGAGATCGACTCCGCCACCAAACCAGCTTCCGTTCTATACGTCGAATGTGTTGGTTAGACCTGCAACATCACCTCCACCATCCTCCAGTCAGGGAGAACTCACAATCCGAAAGACCCGCCAAACCGAACCCCCTCTGCCATTAGACGATCGCCCAACTCGTCCGGACACGGGGCGCCGCCGTAGGTTACCGACTCGCACCGTCGCAGGACCTGCAGGCCGCGTGGACTGTCGACCAAGAGCTGGAGCAGATAGGGCACCCCCTGGACAGACTCCGGACGGGCCGCCTCCAGGGCCGCCACAGCCGTCCGGGCCGTGAGGGGCAGCGCAGCGTCCCACATGTAGGCGGTGCGTCGCATGTACATGGCCTGGAGGGCGGTCGACAGCCCGTGGAGGTGGAACCAGGGAAGCGAGTTGAAGGAGGTGAGGCCGGGGCCACGCATCGGATGGGTCATCAGGGCCTGGTGGCTGAGGTACAGCGGCTTGGGGGTCCCTGTCGAGCCGGAGGAGTGCAGGATCAAGGCAATCTTATGCACTTGCCTCGCCGGGCTGCGGCCGCGACGGAGCATCAAGATGGCCGGTTCCTCCATGGCATCCTCCTCCTCCTCCGGCGAGGGTCGTTGGACGATGGGGCGACACGCCACCAGCTTCCGACGCAGAATCTCCCCCATCGTGGTGCGGATGGTGGGCGTCTGCCCGTACAGGATCGTGTCACAGCCGACCATGTCGAGCAGGGCGACGCAGGCCGAGGCCGACAGACGCGGGGACAGCATCATGACAGTGTACCCGAGTCGGCTCAGCGCGAAGAAGGTGATTACCATGTTCAGGTCGGAGAGGGTGAACAGCGCCACGATCGCGCCCTCCTGGCGAGGCTGGGGGAGGTCAGGAGTTGTCCCACGGGGGCAGGGAGAAGGGCAACTCACAGGCTTGAAGCCATAGTCCATCAGCGTATACACGGCCTGGTCGATCATAATGTCCAGGTCCAGACCGGAGAAGTACTCGTACTCCACCGTCTCATCGGGGGAGGGTCGGGGATAGGCCAGGATCGGATGTTGAATGGGATCCGCTGCTCGGAGACGAATCAAGTCATCCAACATGTGTAGACGACCGAAGCGAGAGATCAACTCTTCGGGCGAAGAGGGCTTGTGCCTCTTGGGCGAGGGCCCGTCATGATGGAGTATACCCATGGTGAAAGGCTGGATGACGTGGAAAAGAATGAGCGTAGAGGAGCTACCACTGGGCGTGACAGGAGTCCTTTTAAACCCAACCCGGAGGGGCTCCGGAGTGCACTGCGTCAATTAAGAGGGAGATTCAATGAATCACTGTCTCGGGAGTGTCGCAGTGGCAAGCCGGCTACGAAACCACCCCCTATATCCCGTAGCATCATAGATCCAGAGCGGTGAAATGAACTGTCTCCAGTCGAATCCAAGTATTTTTATTTTTTTTTTCCTCTGACGAATATATTTTACCTTTTTTTACCCTTGCGCTGCTGACCGTGACGTGGGTCCGAGGAAGATGACGAGGGGGAAGGACAGAAGAACAGACTCCAGCTTAGGGCTCTGTCTGGCGCTGACCCAAAAAAAACATCCCCCGAGCCCTAACTTCAACGCATCGACGGAGTATCCTCCGTAGTATTGCACGGGCCCAGATCGGGCCAGCCCATTTAGCACGATCGGAACAGGACGTCCTTCCCCCAAACGATCGGCTGACTTATCCACTAGGCACTCCGTACATACCAGATTACTTCACCTCTCCGCAGATCCCCTCGGTGAGGCGGGTTCTACTGCTGGAATGGGGGAGGGGACTGTCACACTGCAGCGGCGACTGCACGAGCGGGTGGCCAGACGATCGCCAGTTATGATGAAGACGTTGCGTGATACTGCATGAAGCCGTCCGTCTTTTCTTGACTTCATCACCGCAGGGAGGGAGAGACCAGGATGAAGTCCCAGTCACCCGGACTGTCGGCTCCAGGAACCTGGTTCGTTCGGTCTTATTCGGCCAGTCAGAGGTGAGCGGATCGATCGACGATCATCCTGGCTCCAGGTTTGTGCCCTCATGATGATGATTGTTACTAGGTTACTAGGTTACTAGCCTGGGTAATTTCTCCTCTATTTTCAGCTGTCTCAGCCCAGTGGGGAATTACACATGTCTTGCCTAGACACTGACAGATGGGCGACCAAATGAAGTGCGCGACGGAAGGGGGAGGGGGGGGGGAGACAGACCGACCCACTGTCGCGGGATGGCCGGATTGCGATACGGAGTAGTTATCAAGGAGAATGACTGGTGTAACTGAACTGAACTGAACAAGAGCCCAAATCTTGTTGCGCGGTCTTCGTGTTTAGCCTTTTGGCGTGGTTTATTTTCAGCCGAGCTCTATTTCGGTGGTGGAGTGGACGGAAAGACCGTGAAGTGGCGTCGCAAAAGTTACCGACCAGGGGGGGCACATCCAGTACACAGTACAGTAGTTCACGCAAGTGAGCAAGAGGACGAACTGCGCGTGCAGGGAGAGAGACTTTGCTGTCTGTGTGGTGCTAAAGCAAGCACTCTCCCCTCTGGATTTGTGCAGGGGAGTTGGGATTTTTGGTTAAGCCGAGGAATGACAAATTCTCCGCCTGGAAGCGAGACGGAGAAAGTGACATATCAATTCACAAGCGCGAATTGACCTTCAGCTGAGGGGGAGGGGGGGTGGAGACACGGCGACTAAACTAAGTACTGTAGTAGTGTTGGAGACCTAAATTGACCCAAGATAACATCCCGAGCAATGTCCACTCATTGAACAACTATCAACTATGGAGTACGTACATACTTACATCTGGAGAAGAGACAGATCGTCCCGAAAGGTTCGGGGAAGAACCTCCGCTCCCGCCATTATCGAAAACCCCCTTGTCAGGTTATTGTTTGTTTGATACATACTCAGTATCTCAGTCTGTCTTCCCGGTTGGCTTTCTCTTGCCCTCACCGATGTTTTCCCGTGAAGAAAAGGTGTTGGAGTATCATAGCTCCTCGACTATTAGACGCACCCAACCGGATTCGATTCAGTCTCCTTCGAGCCGCCCACGCTGGAAAAAGCAAAAAGATGAATAAAAGCACCAACTTCCAATTAGCAGCAATATTGCCTCGTCCGGCGCATCGAGCTGTCCAATCCTCCTTCATCAATTCCCTCGCCCTACAGCTCGTGTCTCATCAATCCCTGCTCTTCGACTCCACTGATCATCCTTGTGTGACCGCAGAAGAAAATTCTTTTCTTCAGTCTTTCTACACTGGGGGGATGGTCTCCCCCCCCCCGGTTCTGGCATCTAAATCATCTGACTCAACCACCATGTCGGGACTTTTTTTACGGTGGGTTGTTGCACTGTCCAGAAACAAAATACGATGGCAGTCCACAAAGTCCCTTTTGATTCAGGTACCATTTTCCCAAAAAGAAACCACTGTTGGAAAACGTTGGCGGTATCTAGCCGGGTGGATCACTCTGCCTCGGTGACTCTCTGTTGTAGTCCATCGAGATCATCGACCACTAACCACATGAGCAAATGCTTAGATGAACTACCCTCCGAAATCCTGGAACCAGAGGAACCGGAACCAGTTGAAGTGCTACGAGCGAATCATAGGGTGGACGATTCGTCACTCGAAGGAAATATGGAGGGGTTATCGCCCATTCCATCGGGGGGATGACGATTGAGTTTTGTCTTGTCGCAAGATATTTCCTCGAAGTGATCGCAGTGCTCATGCCTCGCTTCCCTTCTCGCGAGACGATAAACCATTCGCTCGATTCAGGGAATGGATAGACGTCTCCAGTCGCAGGATTGCGCCGATCCATTGTAGCGGCTAAACCGGTGCTGGCTACGGAGTAGCTTAGCGGATGGTCATATCCAGGATCCCGGAAATGAACACACCCCCCTCAGCAGCAGAGGGTCCGTGGGATAGGCTCGTGTGGTGGGGAGGGCAGACTCGTGCAGGACGATCGGCTGGATGGTGCTGTTCTTCTACATAGACTTCCTGGTGATGCGATGATGCTAGAAGGGTATAGCCGAGCAAAGACGACTGGCGGAGATGTGCGCGAGATGATGACTGGATGAGCGATAAAATGTAAATGTACCCCACGGTGCCTGAGATCGCAGCTGTGAATGACGAAGACGGGGCTGGCAACTGTGGCGCTGGGTGGCGCTGAAGACCGAAGACCTCCACGAAAGAAGACGATTGGAAGCTTCTCTCCGGCTGACGATCGGAAACGTAGTAGATGCAATCGAAGGGGAATGGGTGATCTGCTTGATGCAAATGCAATTGATGAGATACTTGCGACAATGAGTTGATATCGCAGAGGCCATACTCATTGTAAACACCACTATGTCATTTTGGTTGCCAATCCTGCTCCAATCTTAGCAAATCCAGTTTGACCAGACTACGGTAGGTAAGTTGAACGTGCGATACGCATCTACACCAAGAAAATCCCAGATCCCAGCCCTCCACCGCACCAGCAGGTGCATCAACGTGTGACTCTGTGCAAGGGACGGTAATCCGTCCATCCTCCGTTCCCTTGAAACCAGTCTTTCCCAAAAGGAATCTCCCAGACTTTTATTTTCCGAGACACCCTCGCGGGATCCCTGTCTGTCATCCACCAACCAATTATTGAAACCCTATACCTTATCCCGATAAAGGGCCAGAATCATCATGCACGGATAACTGCACTGCATCCTGGCGTCAGAGAACCAGAGCTGCTGCACATGTTCATATAAAACCTGACGCCTTCTTTCGATTGTTCTTTTCATGCGCGATAGACTCACACCGCTTGTTCTCCCGCTGCAATCAAAAGCAACAACTTCAGTGATATTTATCTTCCTGGTCCTGTCTGACCTTCAACATCTATTTTCTACTGCATAAACCTTGTCCCTCTCATTCTGATTCTGACTGTGCATACGCATACGCATATTCCCAAGCCTTTACCTCTTTTCGTTCCAATTGCTCCATCACCATGGCCCCAATTTCCCTCTGTGATGGCAGCAGCAGCAGCAGCGACGCCAACAATCCCCTTACATCCACTCCCACTCAGAGCCTGCTTCCTCTCGTCGAGCAGATCAGACAGGCGGTAATGCAAGAAGAGAGTGCCGACCGAAACCCCAACGCGCACTTCCAGCTCCTGGGTCTAATCGACGACCTCAAGCGAGCAGTCGAGAGCCCAACCGAGACGCTGCTACGGTTAATCTACCAGGTCTGCCTCCCTTCTACCCATAGAACCTCTCCAACCCGATTCACTAACCGGACCCTCAAAGCCCCCGCAAAACGCCGCCCTCCGCACCGTCATGGATATGGGCATCTTCCCATTACTGATGGAGCACAGCAAGGGGCTATCGGCGAGCGAATTGGCTGAGCACACCGGGGCCGAGAGAGCGTTAATCGGTGAGTTTTGTTTTTTTGGGGGAAACGTTACCGACTTGCCCTGGTGTGGGACACACTGACACGACCGTTGGACGCCCAAAACAAAAGTCCGCCTCATGCGTCTCATGGCCTCTCTGGGCCTCTGCATGAACCCCACGCCGGAATTCTACCGCGCGAATGCGAAGACCGCCGCCTTGACCCAACCGATTGGGCGGGATGGGATTCCTTGCATGTATGTGCTGCCCGGTGGAAAGGTCCCCTCCCCCCCCCCTCCCAGCACAATCATTCACTATCTACATACCCAACAGACCTAGCAACCAATCCAAGCATCAATCAGAACAACAGGAAAACTAATGATGAATGGAAAGATACGACCTCACCCTCGCCACCCTCACCAAACTCCCCGCCTACTTCCACGAGCACGCCTACACCACCCCCAAGGAATACTCCACCAGCCCGATGAATTACGCTGTCGGGATGGGCCAATTCGAATGGCTGGCCGCGCACAAACCGCGCCAGACGCGATTTAACTCGTACATGGCGAGTCGACGGCAGGGGAAGCCAGAGTGGTTTGAGATTTATCCCGTGGAGCGGCTTACTACCAGCACCACCACCACCAGCCCGCTCAAACAAACCCCGGAGGCAGTCTTCATCGTCGACGTAGGCGGCAACCAGGGCCACGATCTACTCAAATTCCAAGAGCGGTACCCCCCGGACCAGATCCCAGGGCGTCGGGTGCTCCAGGATTTGCCCAAGGTGGTCAAGTGGGATGTGGGGAGGGGGATTGAGGCGATGGGGTGTAGTTTTCTGGAAGAGCAGATGGTCAAAGGTTCGTCGTCTCGTTTCCCCCCTTGCAGGAAATGTATACCATTGAAGTATGCATGTGTATGTGTATACATTCGAACCTTCAATAACCCCAACTCTATCCCGACCGGTATATACACACACACACACAGACTAAAACACTAAGTGACAGGCGCACGAATCTACTACTTCCGCGCCATCTTCCACGACTGGCCTGACAGCACCTGCCAAACCATCTTATCCCGCACCGTCGCGGCGATGGAACCGGGGTACTCGCGCGTGCTGATTATGGACATGGTGCTGCCCGACACCAACGTCCCGCTGCTCCAGGCCTCGCTGGATATCCAGATGATGAGCATCGGGGCGGGGGTGGAGCGGTCGGAGCGGCAGTGGCGGGCGTTGTTGGGACAGGCCGGGTTGGAGGTGACGGGGATTTGGAATCGGCATCCGGGGATGGAGTCGGTCATTGAGGCTACTAGGGTTGCTTAGTACTTGGTTAGTTCACCACTAACTGAGAGTGAGGGATACAAGTACACAGTACACAGTATACGATACGGAATAGAGTCTACGTGCGAAAGTTGTTGTTGTTGTTGTTGTTTCACCAGGGTCTGTGCGGTGGATCTCTCGAGACGAGATACATCAATGTTCCTTTTGAAGAAGAAGATGACAGGTCACCTTTCCTCCAGAGTCTGGAGCACAGAGTACGGAGACTCCACTCTACCTATCGTACTTGCCTAGAAACCTCCTTACTGGAATTAAAGAAGCAATACAGCAGCACATACTAGAACTAATGAACGTACAGACTACTACTGTAGTTAAACTAGGCGCATCCTGCCAGAGTCGCACACAGCTGACACAACCTCCCCATCGAAAACTCTTTCATTCCTCAATATCACAACCCCCTTGCAGATCTCGTACTTTGTCCATTGAACCACCCCACAGCTCTGAAGCTTTGTCGTGACACATAGTGTAAACTCTATGCCAGTTTGAACTTGAAGTGATCCTTTGCGTGTATCTTCTCGAGCTTATACATCTTCCATTGCATATACCGTGCTACTTGCCGCACAGACGTAACTCACCGTAAGTTACAGACTAACTCTTACTCAGGGCTTTATGGAAGCCTGATAAGCATAACTACACGTACAGGTACACCCCGTCACAGTGGGGCTGGCCGGCCGGCCTGTCTGGACGTGCCCCAAGCTCAGTTGTCAGAGCTGTCATATTGGTTTGGCCGCAAGGGGGTGGCGCGGTGGTGGTCATGGGAGTGAATTGACTCCGTGCACCCCGTAAGAAGGCATGGGCTCACGGCAGCATTACTCCCTCGTAAACAGTACTATGGAAAGGTTGGGTCTGGGACTGGTTACAATGGCTATTGTTTCGGATAGTGCCTCTTCCTGACAAAATACCAGGGGTAAGAGAGAAGATGAGCCCAGATGAGTCCTGCTGGGGTTCTGTGCGCTGGCGCGGTTGATCTATCGAGTTCCATTGAGCATGAAGAGCTGTCAGTCGAGACCGACGATGAAACAGCTGGAGTGGTTCCCTTTGGGCTTCGGCGCGATCATCGAAGAATACATACTTCCCATGGTTGCACTTCATCGGATTGCTCCACTGGGGCTTCTCCCCCCCGAAGAGACTACCAAGACCAGCCCCGTCGGAAACCGCAAGATCGAGCATCAATTCTAATACTGATATCTATCTAGCCTGTTAAGTAACTAAAAGCAGGTAGCCAAAGGCCAGCGAATCAAACAGTCAGCCAGTATGGTCCAACGAATGGACGAAGCTATAATACATGAATCCACAATAAGGGAAGACAATTCCAGGGATATATTGCAACAACAATTTCAAACAATTACGATACTCCTCAAACCAGCAGCATCATGGCCAGAGCACCAACGATGCTGGACGCACCGAAGGACAACTTGCTAGCACCGCCAGTAAATAGAGGGGTGGAAGGAGTGGTGGCAGACGATGATCCAGATCCAGAGCTGGAGCCCGAGCTGGAGCCCGAGCTGGAGCCCGAGCTGGAGTCCGAGCCCGAGGAGGTGCCAGAGGTGCCAGAAATGCTGCTAGACGAGGTAGGAGCACTGGTTGGGATACCAGGAGGTGCAAGTCTGCTTGATGAAGGGGCGATAGAGAATGAAGGCACGGCAGAGCTAGAGGGGCCGGTTCCGATGGCGTCGGCGCCAGAGGGAATCACTCCAGAGCCGGAGCCATGGCTGCCACTGGCGGAATCAGAGCTACCCTGGCCATTGGCGTCGGCACTAGCTCCACTCACAGTAGAGCCAGTAGCTTCAGCACTCGCACCGCTCGAGGCAGAGGCCGAGCCGGATCCAGATCCAGAGACGCTAGAGCCACCGTTGGCTTGAGCGCTGGCGCCAGAAGCAGTTGAGTCAGAGCTGCCCGAGCTGGCGCTGGCCTCAGCACTTGCTCCGGCAGCAGTGGTGCCAGTGGAGTCGCTAGCAGAGCTAGAGCCAGAAGCACCGGCAGAACCAGAGGAACCGGTAGCACCAGAGGAACCGGTAGAGCCGGTAGAGCCAGCGCTGGTCTCGGAAGAGCCGCCAGTGGAGGAGGTATCGGCAGAAGTGTTGCCAGAAGAGCTGCCAGAGGAACCAATTGAGCTGGTGCTACCAGTGCTTCCAGTAGAGCCAGTAGAGATACCCTGGTTCCCGTTAGACTCTGCGCTAGCACCGCTTGCGGTAGAGGCTGAGGGGGACGATCCGGTACCCGACTGGGTAGACGAGCTACCAGAAGAAGTGTTGCCAGAAGAACCAGTGCGCGACTCGTTAGATGCAGAAGCGCCAGTGGAGGAGCCAGTAGTAGAGCCAGTCGAACCGGTAGAGCCAGTCGAACCGGTAGAGCCAGTCGAACCGGTAGAGCCAGTCGAACCGGTAGAGCCAGTCGAACCGGTAGA